CAGTGTTGTGCGGCTCTGTGTGCGAGGCCGGAGGCTCCATGCAGCCCACTCAGGGCTTAGGGCCTCAGGAGAGAGGCAGGCCTCGCAGGCCCTTCCTGTAGCTCCATGCGGCTCCGTGCAGCCCAACTCGGGGATTAGGGCCCCAGGCAGGAGCAGCGCAGGCCTCGCAGACCCTTCCTGTGGCTCCATGTGTGAGGCCGGCAGCTCCATGCAGCCCAACTCGGAGCTTTGGGTCTCAGGAGCAGCGCAGGCCTGGCAGGCCCTTCCCGTAGCTCCATGTTTGAGGCTGGCAGCTCCGTGCAGCCGGGCTTGGAGCTTCAGGCCTCAGGCAGGACTGGTGCAGGCCTCGCAGGCCCTTCCACAGGGGCGGCCACGCGCGGAGCTGGGCGCTGGGGTGTGCTGGGCAGGCCCAGCTCCTGCCCTCCGCCCAGCACGGCCTCTGGCCTCTCCCTGCCCTTCCTCGCTCTTCTCCTCCTCCTCCTCCTGCCTCGCCCCACCTCCCCTCGAGCAGGCACTTCCCTCACAGTGCCGGCCGCGCAGGGTGAGCAGAGGGCTGGGACCGGGGCCGCCCGCATGGAGCAGGGTGAGGACGGCGGGAGCGGGTGGTGGGGACAGCGGGTCCCGCACGGGCTGCAGCGGGGACGGGGGCTCTCTGGCCCCGGGCGCCAGCCCTGTCGCCCTCTGCAATGGGCTCCGGGCAAGGAAGACTCTTTCCTTTAGTGGGATTGGACTTACGCAGAAGATGGCTTTTGTGTGGCGCTCTCTGGAAGTGCCAGCCTACTGCTCTGCTGCTCTCGGAGCTAACGCAGTAGCTGCAGCTGCCATTAGCCTTGGGATGTCCTTTCTGCAGGGGCTGCTGGCGTGGAAGCTCTGGAGCATCATTCCTCTAGAGTGCTGCCGCTGACCTGTCTGTAGGGAAATGTGGGTCAAAATCAGACTGAGTTTTACATGGCTTCAAAGTGATATGGGAGGAAATACCTCTCAAATGCTCCTTGGCTTGGCTGCATTGTCACCCAGGGCTTGTGAAAGTCTTTGCTGTGACATTGTTTGGCAGTGAAGTAAAATCTTTTACGGGTTGAATGAGTCTCTTAATGTATTTGCATGCATACATGACACACCTCAAATTGCTGAACTTGCAGCGTTGCTGTTGTACCAACACTGCTGTTTAGGAATGAACTTTTTCATCTTGCAGTGTAGTTATAGACTCAGGCAACTGACACACCTAAAATTTAGAAGGAAGTAAGTGCTTTGGCACCTGTTTATTCACATTTTGCTCAAACTTGTAGCTGCGCTTCACAGTAATTTATTTTGCTGTAGGCTCAAGTCCCAAAAGACTTGTCTCAAAAGACTCAACTCTTAGCTCTCCTTACTGAACTGCTGTGTGTGTGTGTGTGTGTGTATCCTCATTAAATAGTGCTTTTGTGGCCAATTTAAACCAGGAAACAGGAGAATTCTGCCTGTTTGTCTTGGAGAATCTGCATGGCATAAAGTGCATTATTCATCTCAGATGGTTCCCGAGGTTCACGCATCGTCCTTAAGGGACAGCTTGACAGGAGAACAAGCAGGATCCTAAATGTTTTGGGGTGTTTCAGAGCCTGATACACGAGGTCTTCATTAAAGTCTGTGTAAAGGAGACACTCTAAAGAAGCATGTTCCGTTTTCCAAGGGAGAAATAAGGTGTGGGGTGTGGTGTGTTTTTTTTTTTCTTTTTGGCATAAGAACAAGCTCTGGAGGTTGCCTGAAGTGTCTTTGCTGTTGCTTTATTTTGCTGCTTTCTAATTCATGCTGCTCTTTAAGTGGCCTTCTGCCTTACTTCTCTGCCTAGTGTTTTTTCCATCTTTCTCCAGCTCTCCCTGGGCAGCCCTTTCAATCTTCAAGCTAGTCTCTTTGCTCTTAGAAGGCAGACGAATCTGTAAGGTTTTTAGTGTTAAGATTAATCCTCTAATGTCAGCATGTTCTTACCAACAGCTTTGTGTTTACTTTTTTGACTGAATTGATATTTATTGAAAATGTTTTTTTCTATAATAGCATAGTATTTGTTGCAACAAAGTTGTCTTTGTGAGCTTTTAAGTTTTGTAGCATGAATGGAGGAAAATCAGTAAATACAGAGGTCTCTAACTCTAAATTTATTACAGTTTTTTACCTCTTGCCAAGTTTTCCTACATGCAGCAGTATGAACATAGTTAACAGCCATATTCATCTACCTAAGTGAAATATGCTTGTGTTGTTCAAGTGAGATGGTATGGATGTGGTTTTGACAGGGAGATGGATGGACCATTTGAGTGGTAAAACAGTTTTTTAATATTGAACAACCATCTTGACTGCAAGCCATAAAGCAATTTGCAGTAAGAAACGGAGAATGTTTTTTCTTGTTGGAGATCAGCCCATTTGTTTTCATTCCGTGCGACGTGTTGTGCCCGCTACACTGCAGAAAGCAAACCCGGAGCTTCCCGACACTGGAGAATCCTTCTTGTGTCGTTGATAGTTGGCAGCGTGAAATGAAGGTGGGGATGGGGCTGCGTTCGGAGCCCCGGAGCAGTGTCCAACACGTGTGTGATGCCTGTTGCAGGGCATGGGACACGAGTGGGTGGCCGGTTTTGCTTTGAATCAGTGCATACCTGTCTGGAGAGAGAATCTCATCTTCCAACATGCCAGCATTTCAATCGGATGAAAGAGCGATAATTGCAAGGTGGTTAACTGTTAATGAACGATGCTAAATAAGGGGTTGGTTGAGAGCTGCACTTCGGGTGGCTATCTACCCTGAAGGGGGGTAGTTATTTTAAGACGTATAGGACTGTCAGCGTCTTAGTGTTGTAAGTACACAGCAAAGTGAAGGAAAATGGACCAGGAAAACGTGCTCTGGGGGCCGGCCCCTCTGCTCCTCTCCGTAGAGTCTCCCTGTCCTGCTCCGTGCTGCCCTGCGCCTTCTGCTCGGCTGCAAAGCGCTGGATCGGGGCGGACGGCAGCGCCCCAGGACGAGCAGCGGGGGAGCGCGGTTATGGTGTGCTAGCGGGACAAGGCTGTCCAGTGCTGTGGCAGATCTGCTAATGATACCTGACAGAAGGATCACACAGAAATAATTGCAGAGAGCTCTTCTCTAATGCGGCGTTTTTTGCAAAGAAAATTTGGTTTTGCAGAGATCAGTTGTTAGTTATGCATAAAATCACTTTTTATTGCTCTGCTCACCCAGCTATAGAGTCTCTACAAAACAACTTGTGTAAACGGCTTTGGGTTTTGCCCCTCTTAGCAGTACATATGTTGATATTTTTGGATTTTGTTTATTTTCATTAGCTACTGTAGACATCTTTAAGAAAAATCCTATACGAAAAGGATTGGCTTAATTAAATTCTAAGCATAATTAATGATTTGGCTTGTTTTATTGCAAAAGTATTGCTATGTGAGTGCAAAAATAATCTGTATTTTCAAAATATCCCCTTATATAAGAGGAGTAGGTTTTACCTTGTGTTCTTGCCTGCAGCTGTTTGAACATATGCATGTGCTCCGCTAGTGGCAACTCTGGGTATTTAGTCTTCCAGCTGGTGTGTAGCGTCGAGCTACCAGTGTTACATGAGGAAAGCTTTGCAAATAATATTATTTTCTACGAGCCTGATGCATGAACTATACCTTTTCTTTTTGTAGGAACTTCATCCTTTTTTAGATAGTTGACGATAGGTTAACCTATTTCCATAGGAAATACTGCTCATGTGGTATTGCTATCATGCTGCTGTTCTCTTCGGTGATCAGCTAAGGACCCTCTAACAAATAAGACCCCGGGTAGGAGGAGCACGACGGCTGTGCATCTCGGAGAGGCGCGTGTGAGCGCCGCACAGGAACACCCGGCCGTTTGAGGATACAGTCTGATTGTCACAGTCGTTGGGGGCACCACTCATGTACGTGGTTGTGCAGCCGCTTCCCTGCTGGAGGACGGCACCTCCCTACTGCCTTTCCTTTTAATAGCCAGGATGTGTGTTTCTCTAGTGCAGTTCCTGTAATCACTTTTGAAGGGGTTCAGTAAGAGCCTTGTGAAGTTATGTCACTGATTTATGTCACCCGCATTTTGGTGTCCGTGCAGCAGTGCCACACTCTGAGGGGTCGCTGCGTGCTGCGAGTTGCATAAGCAGCATCTAGCTTGGGGCAGAGCCCTTGGGACCCGCAGGGATTTAGCTCCTGCTGCAACACAGAAGATCTATAAACCAGCTGAACGAGAAAAACGCACAGATCCATAGTTGGACTCGCAGTTAAGTGTTGCATCCAGTTGTATCCTGCACGCGCACTTTGGAAATTTAGGAATGAGGAGCACAGGTCTGATGTCGGGTGAAAGCTTGCACAGCAAAACACTAAGTAGGGAAAAAGCATCTAAACAGCATTTGGAACAAAGTGTCTGCATTTAGATCATAGTTCAGCAAAAAGTCCCTTCCTAAATGGTGAATACGTAAATAAATGAACATTTCTGTAGCCAGATATCGAAGTATTATTTGCAGCCCACGTATGAAGCAGTTACAAAGCCGGGAACACGCGTTGATGCTCTCTAACACAGTGCAGCTCTGCTGCCTGTGTTTGCTTACCAGACCATGCACCGTATTATCGTTCAGTCTTGTGCTGTTAACACTGAGTTTGTCCTTTATCATCAATTTCCACACAGAGAGCTGAGAACTGCTAATGCTCTGCAACGAGCAGCTCCATCTGTTTCATCCTTATTATGGCAGGAAACTTGATGAATGTCAAAATGTTTGCTCTCGCCTTAACTAGATTTTAACATAAATGTAAGGTGGTTAGAAATCCTTTTGCCTCCATATTGCTGTTTTTAAGTATTAAAAATTACTATTAGAATGAATTACCATATAAATATATATTTTTAGCACGGGGATTGCATCTACACAGCATTTGTTTTATTTGTGTGTGTGTGTTTTTTTAGGAAAAGTCATCAACAAAGATTTGCGTCACTACTTGAGCCTGCAGTTCCAGAAGGGCTCAGTCGACCATAAACTGCAGCAAGTGATCAGAGACAATCTCTATTTGAGAACCATTCCATGTAAGTATGCAAAGGTCAGCCCACTTGTGCTGAACATAATTTAAGAGCTTTAAATTCTTTCTTTCTTAATCTGGTTTGTTTTTACCTTTTCAGTGGAAATTTCTATAAACAGCTTTGTCAGAATAATCTTGTGTTGTAAGTTGCAGTCAAAAGTTGCTACTAATATGCTTTGACAAAACAGGAGAAATTTAAGAATGTAAAGCTCAGAGTATTTTGGTACATTCCCAAAATTGGTCTTTATCTAATTGAAAGTTTGTAATTTATTATAGATTTTGGAGTATCCATAGCAACCATGGAAAATAAATCATCCTCAGCATGATTAAGCAGAGCAAGCACATCGCAATTTTGGTCAATGTATTGTTTTTTGCACAAAGAGGAGATTAAGATCCCCAGGCTGTCACACAGAGCTCGACAGAGGAGCGCAGCTGGAAGGGGGCGGTGCGGGAGGGATTATATAGGGAAAGGAGCCCCCAGTGCTGCAATTCCTGAAGGCAGAGGGGAACCGCTGCTCCTTAATCCTGGAAAAAAGTAGGAGGTGGCAGCAGCCAAAGGGAGACTGAATCTGTGGCCTGGAGGAGGAGGAAGGAGCAGGGCATGGACAAACGTAAGTGTCACAGCAGGAGGTAACTGGTTCCCCTCGGGATGGACCTGTCTCCTCTGCCGGCCTGAGCACCCGGTAGCATCTCCCAGCCCAGGCAGGTGCTCGCTCACCTTTTCCTCGGAACCTGAAGGCTACTGCTTCTGGGAATGAAAAATCTTTTGTCAGTCTTTTTTTTTCCCAATCACTGCTCAGCCTCAGAGGCGTTTGGGACCTTTCGAACCCAGTGCCCCTCAGGCTCAGACTCCAGTGGATTTTAGGCTTCGCCCGCTCTGAACTGCTCGTTGGAGCAGGTGTGCTTAAGATGACTCTTTAATTACCAGACACCCCTAAAGATTTCTGTGTACCTCCCACGTGAAAAAAATTACTGTTAACTTCACAGAGTATGGGGAGTGTTCCAGGCAGGTGGTAACTCTGGCGATGGTGACTCCCGTGGGTGGTTTGTAGATGGTGCTTCCTGAGTGACTGACACAGAATGTCTAAAATGCACCCACCGTTTCTTCTAATCAAATATGAAATTAGAAGGCAGTTTCCGTGTTATGTGTGTGCAGTGGAAGGGGTTTTGCTTACTCTGCAGAGGGGTTGGGCTGTTCTGGTGGCGTAATTGTATCTTCTAAAAACACTTGTAACTGTTTCTTTTCAGTAAAAACATTTGTAGAAAACCCCTTCTGATGTAAAGGACATTGACAGCCACCAAAGTGTCTTTGCTTTTGCCTTTCCATTCAGTTTCTTTTCTAAATCATCATAAAATCATCCTTTACTTTGTCTCAGAGGGTTACCAATTAAAAAGGCTTATTACCTGTTGTGCTGAAATATCCATTGAACAACCGATTTAGAACAGCTTGTCATCTAACACTTTTGTAACTACGGAAATTTCATCGTCAATTTAACATCATTATAATATTGATCATGCTCAGGAGTTTTTGACTTTCTTAAAAGATAATATTATTGAAATGCTGTTTACTTACAAACAGCTTAATAAACTAGTAAAATCCTTTCTAGGAGAGCTTTAATTAAACTATTATAACTACGGGAAATCCTGTTCCTAGATTGAACACTCTGAGAACTTCTGCCCTGACACAGCAGTTTGCTGCTTGCTTTGAAGCTTTGCTTTATGACAGCTGATGTTTTCTCTGCCTTCAGGAGAACAAACAAACAAACCAAGAGCTGATCCACAGTCGGGATTTGCAGTACAGATGAGTTGAGCTCTGAGCTGTGAGGTTAAGGACAAGTTTCTGTACCAGTTATGGATTTGATGACCCAAAAATCAAATGCGTGAGGTCATGCTGACTTCAGTGCAAAATACTGAGCCGCAGTGGGTGCTCAAAAATAACAGAAAGATAAAATATCCACACAAATAGTTAAAATACTATAGCTGGTAAACAGTTCCCCAGACCATGAACTAGCATTGCCTTGTCCACCACCAGCTACCACTGAATGTGTTTTTGGTTCACAAAATATATACAAAAATCTCTCTCTCTCTGCCACTTCATCCTGTTTTTTTTCTCCTCTCCCCTTGATATCCTAACTGTCATTCCTACATAATTTATTGCCCTAGTTTTTATAAGTTCCTGTTTGCTTGCTTGCAGGAGTTCTCTCTTATCTTCCTGGAATGACCATCATTGTATAAAGCTTCAAACTACTACTATTTTTACTGAGTTTTACAGGCAACATTTGATAAACAGGCAGCATTTAAGCATTTACAAGTGTGTTTCCTCTGTCTTTTCAGGCACTACAAGGGCTCCTAGAGATGGGGAGGTCCCTGGGGTAGACTATAATTTTATTCCTGTTGAGCAGTTCAAAGCACTGGAAGAAAGTGGAGCCTTGCTGGAAAGTGGAACATATGATGGTATGTTGATCCCACTTATCAGAATGGGAATATATCCAGGACTCATGACAAGCATCTTTATCTCCCTAATAAAAATCATATGAGCAGTCAGAGGAGTAGTCATTTACCTAAATTATTTTCCAGAAAAGAGATGCTTCCCAATCTTTGTGATTTAGATGAAAATGTTGATATAAAATTGTTTTCTCAGGTAGAAATCATTTTGAGACCAAATGATATCTACAGCTTTCTTTGGCAAGTGTATTGTCAGCTGTTAATATAGGGCTATATTATTTGTAGTTGTGTTTATGTAAATAGATATTTTATGTTTCTGCACAAAATCAATTTGGTTTTTGGCTTTAGTGTGTTTCTATTGCTGCATGTTATTCCAGATAATCAGTACATATTTTACAAGAAAATAGGAGCAATTGATTTTCACTGTTTTGCTTCTCTCATGCTGTTCACTAAGACTCTTTCCAGAGCATTAGTAAATGCAGTTCAAACTAACAAATCGACTTTTTCTTTGGAAGCCTGTTGCAGGTTATACATTTTGAATCAAGCCTATTATTTCTGATGTACAGTTGCAACATGAGAAAAAACATGGTTATGTGTTTTTAATAGATAATTCATAAGCATTGATTGTTTTTGATGGTGCTGATCCTTCGAAAAGTTAAATTGCATTTCTGGTATTTCACCGATACCTTGCATAGACAACAAAATGTTTACTCCAACTACCAGCAGTTTCCATGGGCATTCATGCTTTTAATTACCCTGATTTTTATCTCCCGGTCAGGTAATTTCTATGGTACTCCAAAGCCCCCAGCAGAGCCCAGTCCCTTTCAGCCTGATCCAGTGGATCAAGTTCTTTTTGACAATGATTTTGACACTGAATCGCAGAGGAAAAGAACCACATCAGTCAGCAAAATGCAAAGGATTGACAGTTCTCTGCCTGAAGAAGAGGAAGAGGAGGAGAAGGAAGCCGTAAACGGCAGTGGAGGGATAGGTTGGTTGACAAGGGGAGAAATTCCCTGAGGTATTTTATGAATGAATAAATAGCATTCATGCTTGTTTGAAATACTCCATTAATTTTGGTGAAGTTTGAAGATGATTTTCTATTCAGGCAAGATTTTGAATGTGTTTTTACACCATTTTGAAATCATGTTTAAAAAGAAACAGCTGTTCTCCCAGCCAGATGTTCAGTTGCATCATTAAATGCACTGCTCATTTGAGAACATGTAGTGCTGGGTACCACCCAGTTGCATGAAGATGAGGAAAAAATTATGCACTCTGCAAGTGGAATCCCTCTGCAGAGTATAATTCATGTACATTTTGTCATTTAATGAAAATAATATAAAGCTAATTTCGGAAAGGGAAAAGCAGAATTCAGTGTTTATTTTAGCTTTTAAGAGCTTGTAGTTAAAAGTAGAAAAATACACTTCAAATAAATGGGTGTGTTTGATTTTTCACTCATAGCCACAGTAAGAGGGTGGTTCTTAATGAGAAACAAGACAAGCATCTGATAAATAGTAACACTTTCCCTGAACAACTGCAGAAAACAAAGAAAAACATTCAGATTCTTCTGACTGGATGAAACCTGTTCCCAGTTACAACCAGACAAGCAGCTCCATGGATTTCAGAAACTATTTGTCAAGGGACGAGACCCTGGAACCTCTACCCAAGAACTGGGAGATGGCCTACACGGACACGGGCATGATCTACTTCATAGAGTGAGTGTCCCGGAGAGTTCTTGTACCTTCCAGAAAGCAGCAGGCACAGGGATCTGCCTTCTGGGGAGATACCTGCCATTGGTACTTCCCATTTTAGCTTTAGATTAAATTTAGTCTAAAGTCTTAAGAAAGGAAATACTTAGAAGCTTCCTCAGCTGAAGGGAATTCTCTTCTTTTAATGCCCTTTGTTTTGTTCCACAGCCACAACACCAAGACAACCACATGGCTTGATCCTCGGCTCTGTAAGAAAGCCAAAGCCCCTGAAGATTGTGAAGATGGAGGTGAGATGTTCAGAACTCAGTTGTTTCCCTTGGAGTCTCCTAAGTGTCTCATTTCATCATAGTTGGATTAATGCTGAGATGGGAGCTTCTTTATAAAACACGTGGCTGTCTGGTGTGAACAGAGTGCTGAGTGTCCATAATTTATTGGTAATCACTAAAGAAGTTAGAGAGATTGGAAAATACCGTAGCATAATTTTTCTGGGGTGGAGGGATTTGATTGAATTGTGGATATATCTACATTGCTTAGAAGGGAAAGGCATATTTTGTTCTAATTAAGTATCACTGCTGAGAAGAGAGCTGGATATATTAGTGAAGATCTCACTGGAAATTGTTGTGTGGGTGGGATACAACAGTAGGGAAAAGTCCGTAAATACTGAAATATACAAATAATTAAAGAAAATATGGCATAATACATCAAATAATATATGGTGCATGTGATAAAAGAAGAAAGGACAGGCCACATGGAAGGAATACAGGCGCATCGTCAGAGAATGCAGATGCGAAATGAGGAAGGCCAAAGCCCGGGTGGAATTAGAGTTGGTGAGGGATGTCAGGGACAACAGGAAGGGTTTCTATAAGTATGTCAATAGCAAGAAGAGGACAAGGGAAAATGTTAGTGCACTGCTGAATGGGGAAGGGGCCTTGGTGACAGAGGAAGCAGAGAAGGAAGAGTTACTAAATGCCTTCTTTGCCTCTGTCTTTACTGCTAAGGCGATCCCCCATGAACTGCAGGGCTCCAGTAGAAGAGATATAAATGGGCTAGAGGAAGACCTTCTGCAGGTTGAGGAGGATTGGGTTAGGGATCACTTAGGCAAACTGGCCACTCAAAAATCTATGGGCCCAGATGGGATGCACCCAAGAGTGCTGAGGGAATTGGCTGAGGTTATTGCTCAGCCTCTCTCCATCATCTTTGAGAGGTCCTGGAGATCAGGGGAGGTGCCCGAGGACTGGAAGAGAGCCAACGTCACTCCAGTCTTCAAAAAGGGCAAGAGGGAGGAGCCGGGCAATTACAGGCCGGTCAGCCTCACCTCCGTCCCTGGAAAGGTGGACTAGATGAGTGCACGGTGCGGTGGATCGAGGGCTGGCTGGATGGCAGAGCTCATAGGGTGGTGATAAATGGGGCCGAGTCCAGTTGGAGGCCTGTGGCCAGTGGTGTCTCCCAGGGGTCAGTACTGTTCAGCCTATTCATCAATGGTGCTGTTCAGCCTATTCATCAATGACCTGGACGAGGGCACGGAGTGCACCCTGAGCAGGTTTGCAGATGACACCAAGCTGGGTGGACTGGCCGACACCCCGGAGGGCTGCGCTGCCATCCAGAGGGACCTGGACAGGCTGGAGAGTTAAGCAGAGAGGAACCTCATGAGGTTCAACAAGGACAAGTGCAGGGTCCTGCACCTGGGGAGGAATAACCCCAGGCATCAGTACAGATTAGGGGCCGACCTGCTGGAGAGCAGCTCCACGGAGAGGGAGCTGGGAGTCCTGGTTGACACTAAGTTAACCATGAGTGAGCAGTGTGCCCTCGTGGCCAAGAAGGCCAATGGGATCCTGGCCTGCATCAGGAGGAGTGTTGCCAGCAGGTCAAGGGAGGTGATTCTGCCCCTCTACTCAGCTCTGGTGAGGCCGCACCTGTAGTACTGTGTGCAGTTCTGGGCTCCCCAGTATAAGAGGGACGTGGAGCTTCTCGAGAGGGTCCAGAGAAGAGGAACTAGGATGATTAAGGGAATGGAACATCTCTCGTATGAGGAGAGGCTGAGTGAACTGAGCCTGTTTTCTCTGGGGAAGAGAAGGATGAGAGGGGATCTCATTAATGTGTATAAGTTCAGGAAGGGAGAATGCAGGGAGGAAGGGGACAGGCTGTTTTCACTGGTAGCCAGCGATAGGACGAGGGGTAATGGCCATAAGCTGGAGTACAGGAAGTTCTGTCTCCAAGTGAGGAGGAACTTCTTTACTGTGAGGGTGACAGAGCAGTGGAACAGGCTGCCCAGGGAGGTTGTGGAGTCTCCTTCTCTGGAGGTCTTCAAAACCCGTCTGGGTGCCGCCCTGTGCCACATGCTCTAGGTGTGCCTGCTTGAGCGGGAAGGTTGGACTAGATGATCTCTAGAGGTCCCTTCCAACCTGGAATTTTCTGTGATTCTGTGATATAATATGTGAATATGTAAGTTAAGGGAACAATCTGACTCCCTTCAAATCTTCATCCCCTTACCTAGAAGGTCAGGGTCATAGCCACTATATTCGTGATTGGCTTATAGGCCTGTAAGCATTTCCTACGTAGTCATGCAATTTAATCAGTTAAAAAAAAAATAACAAATAGCTCGGTCTCCTGCAAACATCTGACATGTTACAAAAGCTGAGGCTCACTCAAAATAGTCTATCATCTTTCTAAATTGCACAGCCTAACAATCATGTATTCATAATGAAGCCAGCTGGAGCAACTGCCTCATTCTGCTGCTTATTAAACATATGTACTGCTCGCCACAGGATAAAAAGAGCACTTTAAATAGACGAATGCAGGATATCTAAATGAACAAAATTTAAATGAATAGTCTCACTGGGTCTCTTGTCAAATTATGTGGAATGATGCTAATATTAATAATTGGTAACATGCTATTATATACTAGGAAATTTACTCTTACCTTCAAACTTAGAGCAGCCTCAAACAAGATTACATAGAAATTTTTGCCTTCAAAATGCCTAGATAGCAAGCTTGCCTATTCTTGTATTTAAATTCTCATGGTAAGGCAATGAGAATAGTTATGCTATTGGACTTGTGTGTAAACCACTAGTCACGATCAGCTGGTTTGCTCTGGGCTGTGAGAGCCGTCAAACAGGGGCTGCACAGAACTGCATTTGGTCTTCTCAGCAGGACGAGCTAGTGCTGAATTTCATGTTGCCAGAGCTAAAGGACTAGTAGCTGGCTTGGGTATGTCTGCACCTTACTGTAAACAGCAGAAAAACCACATATTAAAATAGCCCCCCATGATGGGGGCTGTCTTCTTATTCATCACTTATGCCCGTTACCATTCTCACTAAGGGCTTCTTCAGTTGACTGAATGGTAAAATGTTGTCAGAATGCAGTGAACTATGCTGGTGTTATTGAGAGAATGAATAAAGGTGCCATTAATCCTACTGGGTGGTCTAAATTCAAGCTGAAAAATGAAACAGAGACACATAGTGTTTCAGGTTTGGGATGTGATGTATTGAGGTGTTTACAGTTCTTTTGCTGTGCTGTATTTGGGAACACAGGCATTTTTCTTCCCCCTTGATAAGTTTTTCATCTCAGAACAGATTATTTTGTACCTTACTTATTATATGTTTTAAATGGCATAATTTCATTAAATGTAAATTTCCCCATCTACTAGAACAAGAACAATTAGCTATAGGTATAGGTCTTCAAATTCCCTGCAACGGCCTAAAAGACTTTTATTTAGAAGGATCAGCCTTGAACAAATGAAGGAAAGAAAAAAAAATGTGCATTTTCTCTATTCCTTTTTCATAAGTCTATGATCTCTCATTATTTTATAAGAACTCCAGTATTTGCTGGTGGTTTCCCACTATAATGGAGATTTTTTTTTTTTCTCCTGACTGCAGAACTTCCTTATGGATGGGAAAAAATAGAAGACCCTCAATATGGAACATACTATGTTGAGTAAGTAGTAACTGTTAGCTACAGCAGAAAATAATGTAACAGTTCATGTGTGATATGTATAGATTATAATACAGTATAAGTGCTAAACATACTCAGTAGAAATATATTTTTCTTATTCACATTAACTGCTTACTGTGATTGCTACTTGCTTTTCATCCTCATAAGAGAGAGACACTCAAATAACTCAGGTCACAGCAGGGATATATGAAATAATAACAAACAGATTTGGAGGTGTATATTCTGTTGTTGTCTTTCCTGTCAAGCAGGCAGAATGCTTTCTTATGGCAGGTTGTTCTTTCTTGTGTGTTTACAGTCATATTAACCAGAAAACTCAGTTTGAAAACCCGGTGTTGGAAGCCAAAAGAAAGAAACAATTAGGACAAACTGATGCTGGCCCTTCAAAATCAGGTATGACTTAATGTTATGTTTTTTGTTACTGATACCTATAGGTAAACAATGAAAAATAGCCCAGAAATTTCAGGTTTGGTGTGTATCAGTTCAAGTAAGTCTGACTTTTTTTGCTAGTAGTTCTAAATATTTTAGTTAGTGTTTGTTTTGATGATTGAAAAGATGGATTTTTATTTTGCCAGAATCAATATGTATGTATAACGACTGCAGAAATTAACTTAAATCATCTTCATATTTCAATAATTCTTAATACGCAGTTCTGCAGTTTGAAGTCCCATTATATGTTTTTTGCAGACTAGATGGCTCACTGTGGTAATCACTGTGTCAGCTTTAGTTGGGTGGTGCGATTTACGTGTCGAGCTGTTCAGCTTATTCATCAGTGACGGGGCTGAAGGACAGAGCGCACCCTCGGCAAAGCTGCTGCTGATACCAGCCCAGGAGCAGGGGCTGACACCCCTTCCTGCTCCTTAGGCATAAAAAGCAACCTCTTATTCAGAAGAAATCATTAATCCTTATGATAACTTTAAAAAATATACTTATCAAAACCAACCTTTGTATCTTCAGGTCTTTTTATTCCTTAACCTGGAAATATCCTGGAGAGATTTGGTCCTCGGCCTTTAAAATACCTTCTTCCTTCTCTCTTGTTATCTGTATTACATGTCTGCGGTCACCATCAACTGGGGCTTTACTGGCCACCTCCTAGCAGCACTGTTGATGGTGGATTGTTTTGAATCTTGCCGTGCACAGGAGCAGAGAAGTCTCTCTTCACCAGAGACCCAGCCCAGCTTACTGGAGCCCTCATACGGACGTCGCTGAAGAAAAGTACAATGGGATTTGGCTTTACGATCATTGGAGGGGACAGACCTGACGAGTTTCTGCAGGTGAAGAATGTGTTAAAAGATGGACCTGCTGCACAAGATGGGAAAATTGCACCAGGTAAAGTGGTATTTCCCTCAACTTCATATTACCTTCTAATTAACAAATACTGCATAAGTTTTTCAGGATCTGAAACTGCTTGCACTTCATATTGGAAATATGTAGCATGCCAGTATAAGGACACAGAATATGGGTGGACATGTCCTAAGTTATAGCCAGTCCTAAAATAATTATAAGAACAACAAAAAAAAATCCGATTTATTCTGGATTGAGTTTAGAAGGCAGTACAATATGAATTAGAGCATAAGACATCTGCTTGCAGTAATGTGGATGCACTGTTTTATCTTCTGTGGCTGTATAGTATCATTTATTAAATCTGCTGCAGATTAAACTTTATATATTTAGCACACTATGTTCTGAGTTGAAATAGAATAAATGCAAAGAGGAAATCCGTTAGGCTTTTTTTTGGCAAAAGACGGTTAAGAGGTAATAGCACAACCCCTATTCATTATTTTTAAGGATTGTACAACAATTTTCTCCAGCTAGAATTTTCTCCTGAGCCTCAGAATGTTGCAGAGGTATAGGTAGCTTTATTTTGGGTTTGATGCTTTTAATTTCCTTTTGTAACAGGTGATGTAATTGTCGACATAAATGGAAACTGTGTCCTTGGCCATACCCATGCAGATGTTGTCCAGATGTTTCAACTAGTTCCTGTCAACCAGTATGTGAACATGACTTTGTGTCGTGGTTATCCTCTTCCTGAGGAAAATGAAGACTCTATTGTAGATATAGTGACAGCTACACCTCTTATCAATGGACCACCTATGACCAAAGGAGATGTTTGCGTGACCAGTCAGGATTTGATACCAGGCACAGTCGTGCTGGACCAGAATGGAAAGCCGGGCCCTGTGTTAGTCAACGGTCGTCTGAATGGCCCCTCTGTGGACACAAATGAGCAGAGAATCTCTGTTGCATCTTCAGGGACATCTCAAACAGAGCTGGTCACCATTCCTCTAGTCAAAGGTCCTAAAGGCTTTGGATTTGCCATTGCAGACAGTCCTACAGGACAGAAGGTGAAAATGATCCTAGACAGCCAGTGGTGCCAAGGCCTTCAGAAAGGAGATGTAATCAAAGAGATTTGTCATCAGAACGTACAGAACTTGACACATCTGCAGGTGGTAGAGGTGCTGAAGCAATTTCCAGTAGGAACGGAGGTGCCACTGCTTATCTTAAGAGGAGGTACATTTACATTTATCATATGCAGTTAAAAGCTCTTTAAAGGATCCTTTTCAGTGTAATATGTCAATTATGTCCAGCTTTTAAAATTAAATAGCGGCTTATTATGTCTCTAAGCTGTCATGCTCTAAGTTTAATTTACACCCCTGGGTATTGGGGGTGAGAGCATGCAGCTAGTTTTGTGTCTACAAAAATGTTATGAGATGTTTTTGCACTGTCTTTTCCAAACTTGCGGGGTGAGTTAAAGAAAAAATGCAGTCTCTAGTGACATGCAAGCAGCATCATGGGTGGGATTTTTGAAGCTTTACAAATGTATCGCAGTAACCTTGGCTGAAGTGGACCGGGGTCACGAGCGGCAGGAGGAGGCATCAGCCGCAAGGTGGAACCTTCGCTGACTTGACATGTTCTGAGTGATGGTTTTGCTCAGCTGAGTGTTTGCTCTGCATTTTAAAAGAATAGTGAATGAGCAGTAATCAGTTTCAGCCCAAGAGGAGCTGATTGTACTGGTTTAACACTGTTGTGGTTGTGATGGCCTGGCATTTCAAACTTCATTCTACATAGACATTTTCATCTTTTTCCTTCAGGTCCTCCTTCACCTACTAAAACTGCCAAAGTGGTGAGTATTAATGATGCATTTATCTTTGTTTCTGATGGAGGAATTTCAAGTTTTTTTGGTTGTAAAACAGACTTAAAAATATGGTCTGATTAGTGTCATGTGAGGTTTTTTGAATTATTTAATGGGGATGATGGTTTTCTGTTTTACTGCTGAAATATAAAAAATGCAGCAAAAGTCTTGATGATGCATGTAGTATTGTTAATTTGCCCTGACTGTAAATATCACATTGCTGTGACAATTTTTTTCACGATTCCTTTTCTGTCACTGTGCTTGAAATTGCTACTAGTAGAAATATATGACTTGATATTTATCTGTGTGCATACTTTGAATTGCTTTTGTAATCTCATCTCTTAGTTCCTGTGATAATCTGCAAGAATGATTTGGCAGAACCATCTCTATTTAGCTGGCACAAATTAATTGTCTAAGTAATTGCTGTCAGAATACTCATTGAAGGGGAAACAAAATACAGCATCTCATTTTTTTGCTTTGCTAATTACCTGAATCCTGTATTAAAGTAAAATGGGAATTCTAAAGGATGCTTCAGATACTTTGATGTTTCTCAATCCTGACATAAAATTAATGAACTGGTTAGTACGCCCTTCTTAAAATGCTTCCTTATCTCTGCATGCATATATTGAAAAAATCTCTACATAACTATACATTTCTTGTTGGATGTTCATTTTCCTTGAAAGTTTGGTCCAATGGGATATCTTTGATATATACATTAGCTCTGTAAAGAATCTTTGAGATTAATAAAATACACTGAGATTTAATAATATTCACAGTAACACATATTTTTGTCATGAACACTTTTCTTAGTAAACAACTACCTAACAACTACCTATCTCAAAAATAGACATATTTCTTTAAGAATATCTCTCGTACTCCAGAAATTATCTAGTTTTAGGAAAGCCCTGTTACCTGCTGAGCAAGTACTAAAGTCGTATCCTGGCATCTGAACTCACAAGTTCACTACACTTGAAACAAGCTGCACTCCGAAAAATGGGTAGATTAGGTTCCTTGTGAGAGTACAGCTGCGTAAACCAGATAAATCACTGCACGAATCTGTTCCGTCGGAGAACACGAGTGCTGTCAGCAGAGCTCCCGTTTCGGTGTGCTCTGTGCAGGCATGCTAAAAATACTCATGACTTATGTCTGCTAGAATGTGAGACCCTGTGAGAGAGACTTTCCCACAGAGCACTCGATGTTCAGTGGCATTAAGCAGCATGGCAAACTAACGCAGTCAAAAAGGGCAAGGTCTTATGTTTATAAACATACAAGAAGTGTCAAACTACTAAATGCCTTGGGGGAGTTTTCTTCCACCCTTCTTAAAAGGGCATCTAAGTCTACTCTAATTGTGTTTTTGTTTAACATGCACAGACCATGCTCCAGTTTTCCAGTTTGGGTTTCAGCCCAGAATCAATATTTAAAATTACTTTAATGCATAAACCATTGGAAATTAGGATGGGAGGCTACAAGGCTACTTGGTGTCCTTGAAATAGTATTAGAATGCTGCAGAAACAGCATAACAGAAAAATGCAAATACTGAATTTTTATTCCTCATGGCATGTGCGTCTCGTAATAGTCCATTGTATTCCTCTTGCTCAGTTCTTTATAATGTCAACCTGATATTGAAGATACCTCATATTTCTTCTGTTGTTTTGATATAATTGAGCATCTTGAAATTGGGAGGAGGCAGTTGCATGCTAAGCTGCTAGCAGCCTGTAATAAACAGAAGTGAATGCAAGCAAGAGCATGATTAAACTTGTAATCATGAGGAATCTGTGAGCATCAGGCCCTGGAATAACTTTGTAAGCCCAGGCTTCAGTGAAGTTTCAGGACACGTCTAGAAGCCTTTAGCAGTGAGCACAACTGAGGTACTGGAAGAACTAGGTGAAACAGTTCCCTTATTGCCCTGGTCTACTGCGCATTTCGGCCCTCTCTGATGTTTATTGCCTTGGCAGATGTGTGTAAACAAGCACAGTTAGTGCCTTTGGTTTCATATGGATCTTGTGGGAATGGGGGGCTCTGTTTCAGAAAGATAAGCAAGACAATTCAGGGAGTTTAGAGGCTATCAGCGATCCTATTCCACAGCCTATGCCTTTCCCACCCACTGCTGTGAGATCGGGCTCTCCTAAACTAGACCCTTCAGAAGTCTACTTGAAGTCTAAGACCATATATGAGGACAAGCGTGAGTATATCAGCTTCAACTTCGAATTATTAAATTATGAAGTAATGTTTCCTGTATGTCATAAATGTGGTGAAACTACTGTGCCTTTCACCTTAGCCATTTATTTTGTATATATGTAGCATTTTGAGGAATGGCTAATTCATACAGAAGTTTAAAAGAACTGGAACCCGTTAAAGACAGTTTTGCTTTCTCGATTAGCCTCACTAAAATACCTGTTTGTCCTTTTCCAATTCCTGCTGCAGGCCTTTAACCTTGTGAGCGTTCAGGGCACCCTCGGGAAGAGCACTGTACAATGTGGCACATGCAGCTGCATTGGAAATGATAGCTCGGCATCTCATTTATTACATTATCTGGTTTTACTAAGAGATATACCATCAGTCAATGAAAACAAGTACATATTGAATAAAACTACTGACTCATTTTATCGGATGTAATACAGTACATAGGGTAAACAAAACCCTTTTGTTGTGCTGAGAGTGCCACCAAACCTGTTCCATAAATATCCCGGAAGAGCTGATGGGAAAGCAACTCCCTGATACGAGTAATCAATAACACATCGCTAAAATAGCAGGCTGATGTTACAGCAGGGGAGGTGTGAAAGGTTTGTTGTAATGACAGCCTTGTAGCTTGCTGGCATGAGACCCCCTCAGCAGAGGATACGTTGCTTCTAAACGTGTCAGCATCAACCAGTGTATCCTCCTGTGCATATTCCAGCATTTTCCCCAAACGTATTTATGATTAAATGACTAATCGCAGAAATGGGGTAATGTTCTAAGATTGTTTCCTGACCTGAAAGTTCTGAACACTTTTTCAGTTTGTGGACTTGATAAAAGCAACTTCTTGCAAAACGGATCATTTGAGAGACATGGGCTGTTTTAACATCTTACTTAGGTGAAATTTAATTGACGTCAGTATATCTGACTAGAGCTAGATATTCTCCTGAGTAACATCTATTAGCTAGCAATAAATGTTATAAGAAGTAAAAAATAGTCCATTTTGCTGACGTTGACATAACTGTATTAAAGAATTCCAGCAGTTTTATCAGTCCTTTCATAGCTTTGCAAGTACAGGTTTTAGTGACAGGCCAGAAGAGGCTGATGGTGTTTTCTGAAAGAACCCTTTGTTAGTATTTTAATTGAGCTTTGCTGCAGATAGACTTATGTAAATGGCTCCATAGCAAAACTGTACAGACAGTTTAAAAAATGCTATTTTTAACAATGTCATTAAGGACTAACTTCAGAGATCAGAGAAAAAGAAAACTAAGTAAACTTGATGTGTCAAATAATTTAGTATGCCAAAAATCAGTTACAGTAGCTACACTGGAATACAGTAGGAAATTTGTGTATTGTTTTTTTGTAAGAGGTCATGAAAAAAGGAACTTGCACCAATTTACAACAATTTAGCAATTCTTCAAGCTCTAAGGTGCTCTGATTATCAAATTTCTGAATTTAAGTGTTTCTCATAATTTCAGTGTTTCCAAAATACAGTTCTGAACCATAGTACAGTCTGGATTTTATTGCAGGGCTGCATGTGAAAGCAGCTCTGTTTTGTCCCTTTTTTGTACTTTTGAAATGTTGTTTTGTTTTAGCTCCAAACACAAGAGATCTGGATGTTTTCCTGCGGAAACAAGAGTCAGGCTTCGGTTTCCGGGTGCTTGGAGGCGATGGACCAGATCAACCAGTAAGTTGTTTACAGTTGCCTGCATGTTATCTTACAGCTCTGCTGTTAGGGTGGCTCCTGCTCTGTTGTTCTCATTTCCCTCCCGTTCTAAATGATTCAGGAATGTTACTGTCAGAATAACTAAAGATCAGTAAAGTTGTATAACAGCAGACAAAGGAAACACCATTAACTAAACACATTTTTTAAGCTTTTGTCCCATTCAAATGAAGGGAAGAAAAGCGCTAGTTACCTTTCTTTCCTCTACATGGTTGACTTCAGTATCCCACAGTCATGTTCATTTTCTATTTGTCTAGATTCTTTTTTTGGCAACAATAATGCTCTATGCAGCCTGTAATACTGATGTATGTTTCCATAGCTGTTGCTATATCTAGAATGATGTGAAGGACAGTGTTGGCACTAAGCCTTTGCATGTTGCACTACCTAATCCTGTTAGAGTCTTGGCTCGGATGATGTCTCTACTCAAGATGCTTGTGAAAGAATGTCAAAGAGGAGGCAGAATGGTAAATATTTTGTGGAAACCCTGGATAGTCCATTCTTGTTACAATGGGCTTTAGGAGGAATCCACTATGTTTCATAATAGACCAAAAATTTTCTCTGGAAAGAAGTTAAAGATAGACTGGGGGGGACTATTGACAGGGACTATTTCATTAACTACCAAGTTAAGAGGCAAAGTTTTTGGACTAGATATGCTGGTAAATTGCTTTCTGATTACAATTGTAGGAAAACAGTTTTGTTGTTGTTTTTCCATTTGCAGTTGTGATTCACTGCCAGACTTTTTCCTAATATGCAATTAAATAAAATGAAGAGCAGCGTTTCTTCTTGAGGAAGAAAAAGCAGTCTTCCTTATGTTGCACTTTATAGCATTTATTGCCTTTTTGTTTCTATAGCAATAGCTGTTTGTAGGTGTCAAGCTAATGTCATGAAAATGCTGTGTATAGATCTGCTGTCTAATGCTTAACCTCAGACAGCTAATGGCAATAATTGCTTTTAGTCTTTCATTTAACTTGTGATTGTAGCATATAAACCAGAGTATGTTATTCTCTGCCGTGTCATATTTACCTGGCACTTTATGGGTTGTGGTGGACCATATGGGTGCAACTCTGAGTTCTTTGGCTAATCACCAAGAACTGTGCACTAAAAGACATAAAGCATGGAGCTGTCTGGACAACTTTTCCTAGGTGAACCTGAACCTGTCCAAAGCTTTTGCCCCAGCCACTCTAGCCTTTTCTTGCCTCACAAGGTAAGGAGGCTTCCAGAATTCCTTGAAAAGCTCTTGAATATTTATTGGATGCTTTGAGCCCCAAATTGCATCCATTCATTCAGCTGGCACAAACTGCACTCACTGGCTATGCTGCTGTTAGAATATGATAAACAGATTGTTTAAAGATATCTTTCTGAAAGCTCTTTTCTATCTGGATTTGTATGAAGCATTTCTGCTGTAGGGCAGCATTGAAGTATTTTGATGTGCTCCTACTGTACATTTGGAACTTGCCACTGACTGTACTTTATTGATAGATTTATATTGGAGCCATAATCCCATTGGGAGCAGCAGAAAAAGACGGCAGGCTTCGAGCTGCTGATGAACTGATGTGTATTGATGGAGTGCCTGTGAAAGGGAAATCACACAAGCAGGTGTTGGACTTAATGACCAGTGCTGCACGGAATGGCCAAGTGCTGCTCACGGTCCGGAGGAAGATCTTCTTTGGTGGTAGGTGTCTCAGGAGGTACTGTGGGAAGTGGAGCCTGCCTAAGGAGTTACCTCCATTTTGATAATCATTTCGGCTGAAGCTGCACTGAGACATGTCAATTATTGCAGTAGAACAGAATGACTTCTGAGATTAAAGACCATCATCTGTCACTTTGAGTAAGTGGAGAAAAGCAGAATTTAATAAGCTGATGCTTTTGGTGCTTGCTAGCTTGCACAAGGAGGACTCTGAATCAGTTAGGACGAGGCTAATGTTTTCCTTTTCACAGATGTTTGTTAAAACAGTTGCTTGTGCTACGTAAATGGAGTAATAACAGTCATTATTACTGTGCACTGCTTTCCCAAGCAGGCAGTTTCTTCATCCTGCTGCTAATACTGCTATGTACAGTTTTGTTGTAGTTATCTAATAAAACAGCAATATTTTTTCTCATTTGTTGTATGTTTGTTACCTGTAAGGAGAAAAGCAACCAGAGGAGGAAGAGTCACAGCCTATCTTGGGCGAAAAAGGGTCTCCCCGATTGAATAGGGTGGAGTTTGCAAGCCAGCAGTCCTCAGAGGTCTACGATGTCCGTCTACAGCGAAAGGAAAATGAAGGATTTGGCTTTGTCATTCTCACCTCAAAAAATAAACCTCCCCCTGGAGGTAAGTGCTGTATTCAGCCCAGTGTCATCAGGACCTGGCTTCATTGGTGCCTGGTATTTTTAGCGTTAGATTTCTTGTACCAAAGCCACTCTTGTCATTAGCGAGTGTGCTCAGGGTGGTGGGCTCTTCAGTGATCTTTCCTTTCCAAGGCTGTGGTTATGTTACATATACAGCAGACTGTGTAGGTGTAGTCTTGTTTCATTGACAGGGCTTGCAGACAACTGAAGTTTAGTCTGTCTTGTTTCATGTTTATGCTTTTTTTCACCCAACTGTGGCATAAGTGAAGAGCAGGGAGAAAATAAGTCATGCTCAAACAGCCCATACATGGGAGTGTGAAGCGTTTATGACAGATTATTCTTCAGGACATGGATGGTTTTTTAGACTGTGCTAATATGGTAGATTTTGTACACTTCGTTAACTCATAGGCATTTTAATGCAAGTATAGCTTCAGTCTTGTTATTGTCAGGAAGACAGCATGTTTGCCTCAGAATATTCTCAAAGTGAAAAGGTATCACAATCTTACATTGTAGTTCTCATATACGGATTTGGCTTCAGGCAGAGTTGTAAAGATAAACAGCAAAATAACCAAGGTTGAAAGCAAAAATAAAAAGGTACATTGTGAGCAGAAATGAATAAGAGAAGCTGCGTGCAGGAAGCTCTGGAATCCAACACAATTAATGGGCAGATTTGTGACCCTCCACACAAGAGCAGTTTTGTTCTGTGTAATCAAATGTGTTTTGTATTCGGTGTGCTGATAGCTGCTAGTTATCTAGTAGTGCCAAGTATAAACTACTGGACACTTTCTGCATGAGTTGATGAGCAGGATAATCCTGTTGAGATTTATTCCCTTTGTCCATTGAGTTAGTTATCTGTGTCAGCCTTTAAAATACAAACCAGCTCAGTGAATTCACCCACAAACTCGTTTCATTGCAATTAAAAATTGAGTAATTCCTGCAATATTTACCCTGTTCATGTAGCTCCTTGGTGTAAATCACCTTTCCGAACCTCCTCAAGTGGTTCTAGACTGATATAATGATGTGGTTTTTGTCTTTTTTTGAACTCGGACACTTTCTTCTGCTTCTCCATTTCCTTTTGCTGTACTATGAAAAACAACTGGAGCGCCCTGAAAGTTCTTCCAAATCACATTATGCTGAATTGCTACGATGTGTATTTTGAGTGATGCAATCTTGGCTCGGATGATGCCTTTTCCTTCCATTCTGGAACCAACCATTTTGGAAGATGCCTCGTGCCAGAGCTGCAGCGGGTTCTGCTGCGTGCCAGGTCAGCGCAGAGCTGCTGAGTCCTTCCAGAAAAGCAGTTCCCATGGGAACACCTGGATCCATCCCCTGCGGATGCTGTGAAAATTACTGTGTCCTGTGTTAGAATCACTGAGGGCTGATGTGTTGTCTAGTCAGTTGGATATTAATACAAATGCTACCAGCAGAACTGATGCAGACAACATTTTTGTCAGGGAATCTGCTGCAAATCTATGTTAGTTTGATACTAGTATTAGAAATAGCTGAATCGATTGAAACCCATTTCAGCACTGAAGTATAAGCACTGTGATCCTCGGCTCCTTTTAACACGGACACAGGAGATGCGGGTAAACCCACTGCATTCCTGTGAAGCTGGGATATTTTAAAGCAAATAATCAGCAGTTGTGAGTCTGCAACCCTGCACTGTTTTTCTCTTCACAGTTGGTTGTTAAGTTTAGATTATACTAAAAAAACAGTCTTTTAAGGGAAGGGTAATTAAAATTTAAACTCATCCTAAATGCTAGAAGGCTTTAATGGCCATTCTTGTGCAGTAGCTGCTCTGTATGTTTGCTCATTAAAACAAACCTTGATTTTTTTTTTAAATCTTGGGTGATTATCTCAGCTGATGTCTGTTTCTAAAAGTGCATCAGATTTGCTGTCACGGTTTTGAAATATCTGCTGATAATCTTGAAAAGTGCATAAGATTCCTTATCGTTTCCTTAGGGAAGAGGAAGTATTTTGGGGAAACCAGGGACTAAAAAGCAGGGACTAAAAAACTTAATAAACGAGGTACATGTGAAAACCGCTCCAGGCTCAGGCTCTGTTGGATGTACAAACAGGTTTTTACATGAAGCACCAGGAGGAGCCTCCATGGGAAGGACAGAGGTCAGCCAGGAGAAGTGATGGGGCTGCTTGGGAATGGAGTGACTAGGAAGCCTGCACAGTGGGCAGAGGAGCACTGAGGAGGTTCTGTAAGGACAGGAACATTTTGCTGTGCTTTAGAACTTGGTGGATGTAAGGTTGCTCTGGATGTATGGGAACACAGGCTGACGTGCTTTGGTTTAGCACGGTGCTCTTCAGTGCAAGCAGCCCAGTGAACTGCTGTCCAGCCCGCGGCTTTGGTGCGTTGCTGCTGCTGTAACAGCCCCTCGGTGGCTGGGGACACCTCCACGAGCACCGCTGCAGCTCCTGGCCGCCAGAGCGGGGATCCTGCTCCCGGCTTCAGGGTTCAGCACCTTTGAGTGCTCCACGGAGCAGCGTTTGCAGGAGGGACACTGAGGGGCTTCTGTCCTACCATTGTCCTCAGGTCGCTAATCCTAGGGTAAGGCTAACACCACTAATAAGAGCCACAAGGCAGCAAGCTCCAGGAACGGGGGGCACTCTTGGAAGAGCCAGCAGTGTTTCTCTTCCCTGCGAAAGTGTCTGAGTGTTGAGGGACCCCCGCAGCCTGTTCTGGTTTGTTCCCTTTCTCGGAGATGTGGATCACAACACAGCCCGTCTGCAAAAATGACACAGCCCGATCCCATGGGATCAGCCTGCAACCCCCAGGATTATAGGTTACCCACATATGCTTTCCCTCCTAAACAGTGTATTTAGCCCTGCAGACCAGTGACACTGCAGCAGACTGTTCCTCCAGCACCCTTGGGCACAGGAGATCTGCTTCCTCTGCTGCTGGGAAGGCAGAGAGGGAAGGAGGCTTCCCTAGGGCAGGCTCACAAGCTCTGCTTAGATACCTGTCGGGAGAGCTCCTCACTGATCATCCACATCAGCTTCTTGACTGGTGGTGAGCAACCTCTCAGTGTTTATTTTAAAATGCTGCCTTCAGTGGGAACGGTCTGTGTGGTGACTATAGTGATCCTGGGTCTGTACCGTGCCTGACGGCAATGAGCATCAGCTGTGTTCTGATATGCCTGTTCTTGATTTCCTAGTGATTCCTCACAAGATTGGCCGCGTTATAGAGGGCAGCCCGGCTGAGCAGTGTGGGAAGCTCAAAGTGGGGGATCGCATCTCGGCAGTGAACGGCCAGTCCATCGTCGAGCTCTCCCACGACAGCATCGTGCAGCTGATTAAAGACGCGGGCAACGCGGTAACTCTGACCGTCGTCGCCGAGGAAGGTGAGGAAGGTGCATTACACTCGGGTGAATGTGTCCTGCCAAAAGCGAAGTGTTTCTAAAGTGGTGTTTGGTGGCTGTGGAAGTTAATGCAGAGAGAGGTGTCTGGAATTTAAAGAAAATCTGCCATTGAATGTGAAGCTCATTGACTTGCTGTGTAGGACTGAGCACTACGGGGACAGAATTAGACAGCTGCTGAAGTAGTTATATTGAAAAATAACATATATGGAGAACTTAATGCAGAGTAAGAGAAATTCCCATGGTTTCTGAAATGGGAGAGTGAGGCCGCTGCTCACAAGGAAGCCTGTGAGCACCTGATTTTTAGATCCTTTCCAGTTGGCACTCTGTGTCTTTTCTTCCTGCTATGTGAAAATACACAAATTGCCTAGCACTGCATCTCTAGAATACAACAAATGTTCTGCAGTTCTTGTGTCTTCTAAAAACACATTTTGGAAAATAGTCACATCATCATAGAAATCCTGTCCAGACAATTTCCTGCAGAGCTGTCCAGGCCACTCCATTCACACGCAGCAGTCATGTCCCCTCGACAGCAGAATGGATATTGGTGGCTGCAAAGTCACATCTTCAGAGCTCATGGTTTTTAATGAAAGCTCCTATGCAGCATTGCATTCAGCATGGTATTGTTCCTACACAAGCACTTCACTATAAATATGTAAAATCCAACCATTTAATGAGGAAAAATTCTGTTTTCCAACCCTGCTTAGTAATGCCTTTAATGCCAGGGTTTCTGCTTTTGAGTTTAATTAAATTGACTATTGTTATTGTACCGGAAATTTGGCTTTTCTCACCTTTAAAATAATAAATACCTAAAGCCAAACTGTGAAGAAAGCCAGCAGATTGTTCTCTAATTTCACATTCATTGCAAATATTTAAAATGCTATTGCAGCTTTCAATATAAAATGCCAAAGACTTACTTTCTCTTTTTGTTAATGTTTGAAGCAGACTGACTTGTATAAATTCAGTTATTTTTCTATGAAGATTTTCATTTTTTCCAAATCTAATTCATTCCAGAATAAATAGATGCACCTCAGAGCAGTTGCCCAGGGCAATGTTCATAATGCAATTGAAGTCTGAGTTGGTTGCATTAGATCTATTTCTCTAGGGATCTTTACTTTGTCTTTAGAGTAAACCTGCCCAGTATAACCATTTTGTCATTTACTATGACCCTTCCTAGGCTCCATATAAGAAGTTATCTTTTCCCATTTCCTCAGTCACAGATTTATAGCCAGAATGTAGAGATAAATTAACAATTTGAGTGAGACTCAACAAGGAGAGAAAAATCTGTGAGCAGGAAAATAGATGAAAAGAGCAGTCAGCAAAACTGCGACTTGGAGGAGCCAACGTTGGTGCGTTTTGGATATTGAGAGCTCGGGGACAGCAGGCAGAGCCTCATGCACAGAAATGGAAGTTACTGTTTTAAAGTTCTCCTTGATTTATCTGGAGAAACGCTGTTGAGCGCTCGTGCAACCCGCCACGCAGCCGGGGCCCGAGGCAAGGCGGCCAGCGTGGATGTGAATGATGTGAGGACTTGAGCCGTTTGGGCTGCACCAAGCTGGTTCCCCGGACCATGACGTGTGTGAAGGATGAGGGGAATGCTGTTGTCGCCAAAGCTCGGCAGCGTAAACCCCGGCGGAGCTCCCAGCGCTGCTGCCTTGGAGCTCTCCTCCGACCGGCACTGAAAATGCTCCCATGTCTGCACGTGCCCGTGCCTGCCTCCCTCCTGGCTTCCACAGACGGGTGATCTCTGCTTTTCATATGAATAACCGGATTCCACTTCATGCTCCAGAAGACATTCTTGAACATTTTTCACAAAAGTAGGAGCCTGTCAGCTTCTGTCACGTGTTAGCTGGAAATGCAAGGGAGCAGGCTGAAGAGAGGACTGGAGAATTCATACAAACAGATGGCCTTTCCCTTGCTGTGCTTCTGAATTAAAATTCTGAGCATAAAGCAGGAGCAAATGTTGACGTTTTGTCTCCAGAGGCAAAGCCTCTCCAAGGCCTGTCACAGCCACAGCACCAGGCAGCCCTGGGAAGGATCCCGAGGTCTGGCACACCTGGGAAATGCAGGATGGGAGCGCGCAGCACACGGAGCAGCGCTGCCTTCCCTCCCCCGGAGCTGCGTGTGCACCTTGGTTTCCTCAGCTTTGCTGCTTTATAAATGCTGTGGATTTACTGCTAGTGTCCAGTCACTGTATTTTGTGTGGAAGGGAAGAATCATCCTAAAAATTGCTTGACAAGATTTTCTTAAAATGCCATTACACTTCAGTTTACACATTACACATTTTAAGTCGGTCTTGGGGACAAGGCAAAATGCCTGAAATTCCTGCTGATAACAAGAAAACAAGTTGCATCAATTTAATTGTCAGGATAGTTCATCATCTCTCCAGTGGCTTTCCTGTGGCAAACTCCATTGAGGCTTAAAGGAGCTGGCAGCTTCCTCCCCACCATTAGCACCTTCCCCTGTGAGTCCTGAAGGCCTCTGCAGATCCTCAGACTTCTCTCCCTTTCAGAAAGGGATATGTTCTCAAATAAGTGTTATTTTTCATTTCTTATGTTAAATATATCAACCAACTGTGTGGATCTGACTAGCCTAATACCTTCAAATCTGTATCTATGAAATACTTGTGTTTGTGTCTGTTTCAGTTAGAATTTTGTTTGACAAAAAAGAATTCAGATAAGAACCAAGTTCCTAGAATTGCATTCAGTGGAATCAATGAGCTCTGCTGTGATTCCTGGCTTACGGCACCAGACCTCAGAAAATCCTCTCCCCCCTTTTAACTACTATGGGACGTAATCTGGCTGTGGTGATATGATAAGTGCCCCCCATGCCTGTGCATTAGGGAGGGTCTGACAGCTGATCTTGTTTGAATTCACCAGAGCATCGTGGTCCTCCCTCGGGAACAAACTCGGCGAGGCAGAGCCCGGCTCCGCAGCACCGGGCACCGGCGCAGAGCACCCCGGCCGGCGCGGACAGGTATGGGGCGCCCGGCCGGGCGGCAGCAGCCAGAGGGGCTTCGCTGGGGGTGGCTGCCGCTTGCAAGAATCGCCTGCTGCCATTGGTTTTGGGGTTAAACCACCGAGAGTCTGGCCTTAGGTGACACCAGGGTGTTCCAGTGATTTTGTTTGTAAGCTGGAGGTGATGGAGCAGCCTTACGTGCAGCTACTCATGTGTCCAGCATGCAAGAAGCCTGTCCTGTCAGCTGAATTACTGTGTACTGGTTTCCACTGGAACTATATTATAAAGCTTATGACGGTAACTCCCTACGTGCAGACTAACATCCATTCTGTTTTACCTCTGAAGGGGCACCACAGAAGGCGAAGCTGGAAAAGAGGCATCAGCTACTTACAGGCTTTCGTGGCCTGAGCACAAGCACTTGGCGCAGCCTGAGGGGGCTGTTGCTGCAGTAAGTGGTGGCCGTCACCCCCAGGTACAGGTAACCACCTGGCTTCAGGGCATGCAAAATACTGGTTCGAGGATTGAGGGCAATGAAACGTTTCCCTGCCGCGTGTGGGTAGGAAGGTTGCTCATAAAAATGGACTTGAAGCATTCCAGAGAAAACTTTAACATCATAAATTTGGTTGTCTCCTTAGTATAACTTAATACTTGTTATAAAAGCAACAGCAGATCTTTGGAGCTGGGCTATTCCAGACTCTTTGGCAAGATTTCTTCAAGAACTTTCATGTGTATCCAAAACTTGGGCAGAAAAATATTCTGTATATTTGACTTGGCATAAAATTATTGTAATAAATCATACATGAGTTGTGATGAGTTCAAGTTAAGTAGTGTATTGCACCTTCTTCAGAAAGTGTTAAGCATTTTCTAGAAAAACAAACGTTTCAATATGCCTACAGCTCTTCATCCTTTTTTGTGTCGCTTCCTACACAGAATCCTGGCTGCTACCCAGTGGAACTGGAAAGAGGTCCTCGGGGGTTTGGGTTCAGTCTTCGTGGAGGAAAGGAATACAACATGGGCTTATTCATCCTGCGACTTGCTGAAGAGGGGCCAGCAATCAAGGATGGGAGAATACACGTGAGTTTGTCTTCTGTTTGCACAGAAGTTGGCCTTTGATGTATTTACCAGTAGTGGGAACAAACTTATACCTTCTACCTTACCACACTTCCCGAGTGCAGGGTGCCAGCGGACAGAGCAGTATGTGGAGAGCTGCCAGTGTCTCGGTTCTTGCTGTGCAGGTTCTGGGGTGATAGGCTTGGCTTTAACAGAAGAAATGATCCTGTGGGTGGGGAAGGGGCCGTGAGTAGCTGATGCCCTTCTGGCCTGCAGACTATGGGTGATTTAAAATTGTAGGTGGCAGAGATGTTGAGCAAGATCTAACCCCATATCAGCAGCAGGGTCATTTCTTGGCTTGCTGTTTACTGGGGGCCCTGCTTTAGAATAGGAGACACCTGCACTGTAGGATAGAGCAGGATGCAAGGCAAACCATGCTGCTTGGATGTTGAACTTGTCCCGGCAGTGCAAGTGCCCTGAAAAGGGAAGAGTGGAGGCAGCTGCCTGTCCCACCAGCGTTTGAAAGGCCTACCTTGCTCTCATCCTTGTAACTCTTGCTCTCATCTCATGTAACTTGTAGCAGTGCATTGTGCGATCTGCTCCATGCAGCTCCCTGAGTGGCAGTGGCAGGAGGGGTGTTGGGCAGCGTGACAAGGCGGCTCCAGCGGGTCCTGCTCCAGCACTGGGTGTCACGGGCCCCCCTAGGGCCCCCGGGGACCGAGGGTCTGTTGGTGCCAGACGTGACGTTTCTCACCACTCTGGGGACATTCGGCTTTTCCCTGTTCAGCTCTAAAAAGCTGTCACTTTGTGGCTGTACTTCCAAATAACTAGGAGGAATTTCTCACCCAATTAATAGCAGCTGAGCACAAAGTGGTGCACACAGTGCAGTGTGAAGCTTCCTGTCCCATCACATGAGTAACCAACTAGTGACTTTCTTTGGCAATGACATTTTATTTAACAGAGCCCAGATGGACTCTTTAAGCAGCTATTTTTATGCACACTATAGTGACATCCATTGGCTGATCTAAGTATTGTGGAATAGATTTCATGAGGCTTTTTGCAAGAACTCTCTATTTCAGCCGCTTTATAGAACCCTGCAAAGCTGGCGTGAACTGTAATTAGATGCCCGTTGTCTCTTCTAGTTGCTAATTGGTCACAGACCTCAGTGCTATTAACTGCATAACGTTGGTGATCTGTCTTACCTTTTCTTTACATGAAGCCTCTTCTGCAATAACAGTATTCAGCTCTTATGAAATATGGAGCAGTTATTGTGTTACTTCATAAAGATTAAGCTGGCTGCTGTTCTCTTGTCAGGTTGGTGACCAGATTGTTGAAATAAACGGAGAGCCCACCCAAGGGATCACTCACACACGAGCCATTGAGCTGATTCAGGCTGGTGGGAATAAAGTTTTGCTGCTGCTGAGACCAGGGACTGGCTTGATACCAGATCACAGTACGTCATCTGAAATGTTAATTCATTTTCAGGTCCAAGGCAATGGAATAGAGCCTAATAAAGATATGCTGTTTTACTTAAATAGTTCCCTTTTTGATAGCTGTACAAGTGGCTCATACTATTTCAAATATAAGGAATGCTTTTAGTAAAAATTATTGCAGGATAAGTGTCTAAGAAAATTACATCATGTGTGAAATTATTTATTATTATTATATTTACTTTTGTAATCTGCTTCTCTGCTCTGTTGAAACTCATCTCCTATTCTATGCAAATATGACAGTTATCACCATTTGCCTTTTAGTTTTAGTTAAGATTCTGTACAATACAGACACAGTTTTCTCCTTACTGACAGCTACTTGGGCTGGGTGCAGTTTCAGCAGTGAGTGTTTAACATGCACCAAGGAGACTGCAGGAGTCACCTGGAACCATTCCTGGCTCCTCTTGTTCACTGAAACCCGCTGACAGAAAAGCAGAATTGTAGCAGGGTCAGGCAGGACCTCTGGAGATTGTTGTCTTCGGCTTTCTCTCAGAAGCTGGGTCTCACATTAGGTTCAGCATCTTAGATTAGACCAGCAGCTGGGGAGAAGGGGAAGGGCTTTATTACCTCTTGTCTTGCTAATTGTACATTTCTGATTGAGATCTGGCTTGCTGCACTCCTGTGATTTTTGGTATGTAGTTCTGGGCTTTTTTCTCTTCCTCCTTCAGGTTTGGCTGCTTCCAGTCTGTGTCCCTACGTGAAACCTGAGCAACACTAAGGGCTTTCAGTGCTTTTCTTGGTTTTTCCTTAAAGACTTGGTAAATCTGCATGTCTTGTGATTCATCTCTTCCTATTATTAAAGTGCAAAGCTATCAATAACCTCAGCTTCCTATTGGTTTTGGTTTTCTTTAGTATAAATCTTAACTCTGTAGGTCTAAGAATATTTTATTTGCAATTCTGCTCTGTAGACTCTAACATAATATGCTGATCCAAGACCCTGTCAGTCCTGCAGAGATCATGATCAGACCCTGCAGAGCTCTCCAAACACAAGTTTTTCTTCTAAAATCACATCCTTTTATTATTGTAGCTTGTAGAAAGTGAAGAAAACTGATAAGTAGATTTGGAGAATACATCACTATATAATTTATCTAAGTTGAAGATTTCACATAACATCCTGGAACCTCAGTAATAAACACACTTTAAAATTTTTAATGTTTTTTTCTGCAAGGTCTTAGTCTAATCTCATGTTTTTCTTTCAGGTGATTGGGATGGTTATAATCCATCTTCATCAAATGTAATATATGAAGAACCATCACCATTATCTTCATCTTCACAGTCTGCTTCCCCATCTGAACTGTGTTATTTACCAACATCAGGAGAAGCTTTAATGAAAGTTCAGCTGTCTGAGAAACTGGAACAGGCGAAGAACACTGTGCCTGAAAAGATAAGCACTTTATCAGAAATCTCGTCTGAGCTTAAGCCTGTATCTTCTCCCCAGAGAGCGAAGAACAGATGGGGTCATCCCTCCAGTCCTGGCTTGGAAATGACAAAAGGATCCCCCTCCGCGAGCCCAGAGAGGCCGGGGCCGTCCGAGGGGCGGCATCAGGCCGGACCGCGCGGCCCTGGGCAGGGCGACCCCAGAAAGCTCCACGTCGGTGTCGCAGCCGCCTCTGACGGCTGCAGAGGGGGTGAGGGCAGATCCACAGACCCCGGGCTCCACAGCAGCAGCAAGAGAGACCCCTCCAGAGCAAACCAAGGCAGGGGCGCTGGTCCCCACCAGTGTCTGGGTAAACAGGGACCCACCGAAGTGTCAGGAAAGTTGCCGGAGTATCAAGACAGAACAGCTGGTGGTGACGTTAAGACTGCTGAGCAGTTGAAAAGTGGGAACGGTAAAATAAGAGTCACAAGGAAAGATGCAAACCAGGAAAGTTCTGGAAGGAAGGAGGGGTGGCCATTGGAGAGAAGATACCCAGCATTTGAAAATACTCTTCCATTCAGTAAGGCCATGGACTCTTGGACAAAATCTTCTGAAGATGAAAAAATACAGAAGTCAAACTCTGGAGAGCCAAGTTTCAGCAAATTCAAAACTTCAAGCCTTTCCAATATCCCCCTGCTTTCCATGGAGAGGCAAAGGTGGCTAGAACCCCCAGAGACTGCTACTCTCAACAGGCAACAACACATGGAGCCACTTGATGAAACCAAAGATGATGGAATCTCAAAATCTGAGAACAGTTCACCGGTCAAGAGAGCACCAATAACTCCTGGACCTTGGAAAGTACCAAGTGTGTGTAAAGTCACCAAAGCAGCAAGTGTGGCTGAAAAACGGGTTTGACTGACACTTTTTTAAAACATGTTTTAATCAAGTTTCTAATGATGGTCACTTAAAAGCACCATTTCTTTACATAAAGTCATCATTTTTCAGAAACTGTTTAGAGGCTGGAAAGTAATCTGATTTATTCTTAAATTATCTAAGCTGCATGAAGGAACTTTGGATTGCTTAAATGAAACTCCTCCATAAGCTGCTGTCCCCTTGTCCTTTGAAGGCAGTGTGCTGCTGCTCCCGACATTGCACTGCTACAGCTTTCTCAGATAGTATTGTGAGGTTCTGAACAAAGTTATTTAATGCTTATATTGCCAATGTGATCATGACTCACTTGTTCTTGTGCCAAGTTATCTACTGTATCCAGTCAATCTAATCCTTCTCATATGTAATCCGGTCCCAGAAAAGACGAGGTTTTGTTTGAAATGGGTATTTTCTCAAGAGCATGTTGCATGTTTACATAAGGAGATACCCATGTGCTTACTGCTTCTCTGAGAAGATGGGTGAGTTGGTTTTATCAGTTCTAGGGCAGCAATGAGCCACTAATGCTGCTCCAGCAGATGTGTTTTGTTTTTATTTTTTTTTACCTAATATAAAATCATGTAGATAAGAATTACATTGGACATGATGTAATTCTGCTTTTTATGAACACAGCACAATTGCTTTAATTTCTTGATTCATGAGGATGCTCATAGTAATTGTTGACAAACATCTGTCTAAAAAGAGAGATGATTTCTGGATTCTGTTAAATAGCATAATTCCTTTGGCTTCCCTTGTGGCAGGGTCATCCTTACCATTCTCTGTAAACATATGTGAGTGTGTATTTATTTTTAGTGTCATTCTGGTGCTATTTACTGAAATTTCCTTAGTTCATTATTTAGCACTAGTTAAGAGTTGGGATTTTCTTTCCTCTGTAATGATAGCAGTTGATCCTTAGTCAGCTTCTTGAATGAAACTAATTCTACCTGTGCATACTGCAAGTCTCCCCCATCTTACCTGAAACGTGTGATCTAAGAGTGTGAAATAGAATAATAATACAGGCAAGGTGAGATGTAATATCTACTGTTTTGGCTCTAACATAAAATAATAGGAGGAAAAATATCAGGAATGCCACCAACCAAATAATTAGCGGTAAAAACAGTGAACTGAAAAAATTTAAAGGGATGTAATTGCTTTGAAGTTTTAGTGATGGCTTCCTTCATGTCTACAAGAAGTGGTAAAAGAAGCTCTTTGGTCCAGTTTGTAAAAGCAAACAGTAGTACCAAAGGTCAAGCTTTACTTATGTTAAAATTCATACTAGTACAACCTGCTAATTGCAAATGATTGAGCAGCATCTTTGACTTTAAACATTGAATGCTTTTAAAGTTCATTGAAGCACAGCGGATCAGCTCTGAGTTGAACAATTCTTCACCTACCTAAGGAGGTTTTTGATCACTTCTTGGAAAGTAAATAGGCTTTAAGGCAGATCTGCACTGCTCTCTGCTGTTTCACGTGGGACGATCCACTGATTGCTGTAGCATATGTACTAATACTCCATGGTGTGGAGTCTGACTGTGAAACTATTCAATACCTTGAAGTAGCCTCTGTAGATACTATCCATGTATTCTTGACAGGAGACTGTTTATGTTGTTGTATACACCTGCCCTACCCCTGAGTAATGAAATCAGAAGTTTAATATGAAGATGAATTAGCACCACTGAAATTATTTTCCATTTTTTTCTGCTAATGTGATCTAACTTAGCGTCTTACCTGTCTGTGATTTCTCCTTCCAGAGAACTTGTATCTGTACTTACTGTATGAGATGACTTAGCAATGTGGCCTTGGAATGCTAAGCAATGGATGGATGTACTGGGTGTAAATGTTTATATATTGTACAGCATCTTTATATATACTTCTGAGGTTCTAACTAGAGAAAGACCTGTAAATTGCTCATTATTTTTTATATAGATATTAAAAAGAAACTCCAGTTCACGGTCTGTTGGTTCTGCACTGTATAAAACATTCATTGTTGACTTTCAGTGGTGTGACACCTGCATTTAACAGATCAGTATAAGATCCAGGTTTTACCCATAAGCAAAATACTCTTCTGGAAAACAAATGCAATTTATTATTGGAACTTTAATTGCCTCTTTGTTCAGGTAGTATTTGTTCAACAAAGGTACTATAAAAAACATCAAATCATGTAGTATAAACTGTGTATGGTGAAATACTTGGACTGTAGGTTTATTTGTACATTTTGATATATAAAACTGTCACTTCCTTTTACATCTTAAAACCTTTCCTTGTACAGAAAATAGCTGTAAACAATTTACTACCCCAACCTCCTTTCCCATCTTACCTCCTCTGTGAAAGAATGAAGCTATGATATGGTCCTCTGTTTTTTCCTTTTTTCATTAAAGATAACAGAGTTATGAGAACTGAAGGAAAACACAAGTTTAACACCTGTCATTAAAAGGTTTTGTTTTGCTCCTGTGCCATTTCTACAATAATCATGTACTTTTCAAGGGAGAAAATCCCCGTGCTGTCACGGAGCTCACAGCAGCTCTGTCCTTGGGCTTGGCACTGGAAGGCACGTGGCAGTGCAAAGCTCCAGCCGCTTTCCGGAACAGGCAGTGAGGCTGGGTGCCAGAAGAGGTTCCCACAGGGTGAGGCCTTTTGTACCTGCCCCGAAGGGAAAAACCTAGGAAGCATCATCAGCAGGAACACAGCAGAGGAGTTGCAGGGAATGAACACAGCAGGATTCTCTATTTGATAGATGCTTTACTTGTAATCTCTGTTGTAGGATTGTTTTCATTTAACTAACATTTTTCAAAGTGATACCATTTATTTTCAGAAGACATACCATAAACTGCTGCTATGCAGCTGCAAGCTTAATTGTCATCATGGAAAAAATGTTTATCTTGTGCAGATTTAATTTCTTCACTGTATCCGTTAGTGGCTCAGGATATAGATGCAAAGCCTAAAGCACACTGAGCTTTTAAGTAACAAAATATTCTTCAGCACAGTTAGATAAATACATCTGTGGATGACTTGATCTGAGAAGAGTTCTGAAGAAGCCTGCAGAAATTTGAAAATGTGAGAACAGCTCCAGAGCTCCCTGAAAAAGGATGCTAGGAACTGAAAGAGCAGGACTGGCTAGTCACTAGCACCTGTAGCAGCTCTCTGCATCCTCTCTGTAACAGCTCTCATGGGGCTTTTAGTGTTCAGTGCCCTGAAGTATGTGCACATAGTTCCTGCTGTTTTCAATGCAAACCACTGATGTTTGGCCCCCTTTATTTTGCTTTAGCACACACACATATCATGGGCTGACTTCACTAGTTATTCTGTATGTTGTAGAACAGTAAAGCAGAAGAGAAAGTATTGATACATACATTGACTCTGCTGAAGAAGTCGTAATTACAGATTTCCATAATTTGAGCATCTCTGCCTTTTGCCCAAGCAGGTGGTTATCTATCTTCTCTGCTGATGGTGCTCAGTTCATGGTTTAATTTTCCATAACTGAAAAGACAAATTGAGAGGGAGTACTGGGCTAAGAAAGACTCTTCTTTAAAGATTAGCAAATCAAATTTATATACAGCTGCTATCTTTGAAGCTATAGCTGTAAAAATAACCAATGTCTAAATGCCCACTTTTCAAACTTGTTTGTTAGTTTAAGCAGTTCTGATACAACTTTTTAAAGGACAAATCTGTTTTGTTTTTGAATTACTTTCATTCTTGTTCATAATTCTGTACCAAATTGACAAGACAACAGTTAAATTCACACTGATGTGCAAGGAGACAAGCTTTTTTTTCTTTTTTTCCCCCCTACTTCTGTACTTCAGAAGGCAACCTGAGAATAACAGTAGCAGTCTGTAAAGAGGGGTTTTTCCTGACTCTGAGCACAGAACAGAGCGGAGGTGGGGGGGGGGGCGAGGAAGTGACACTCATGTTTTGAGCACAGGAAAATGTGTGCAGAATGGAAGAGGTTCAGTATGAGGAAATGGGGTCCTGTCAGTCTGCAGGGAGCCCTAAGCCTGAATGCTTTTCATCTACAGGCCAGGAACTTCTGCATTAGCTGTGCTCAGTGACACTGGTTTAAAAGAAGTGAGACACAGCAGGATTATTTCTTTCTTCTAAAGGAAAAGAACTCAGGGGTTCTGACTTCCAGCTTTAAGCGGGCACTAAAGACCTTAACAGGGCTGCAATTTAAGACAGGCCTGTCCTTCCCCAACCACCTGGCTTCATCCAGCATGGTCTGTGTTCTGCCACTGAGGTGGAACCTAATGCAAGGGTGCTAGCCCTGTTACAAAAGTAACCCCTACAACCTATTTCTTGTTAGAAGGAGCAGCTGTACTTACCCTGATATTGAATCCTAGAAGATCACTTATAACACCTGAGACAGCAGACAGTATCACAACACGTGTTATGTTGTAGATCAATGGATTCATGGTCAGTCCATACAGCCTAAATGGTGTATCTAATTCCTGCAGTGCATAGGAGGAAGAAAACAAAACAAGCAAAAAAAGCAATTAGAATTAGTCCCTACAGAAGTGATTAATGATGTTCTGGCTTTTAACTTAATACTGTTTTTCTGCCAGATTTTGTTAATCATGGCCAGCAGCTACATCCTGCTTTAAACCTAGTGACTGAATCTACCATTATAATTACCTCATGTGTTCCAGCTCAAAGTTTTTTTTTTTAAACATCCAATCTCAAATCTGAAGTCTTTGTTGCAGAAATGGAAGCAGCCTGCTACTGTCAATAATGGGTTTCCCCCAGCTTCAAGTGTGCTGTGCTCTCAATGGCTGGTTCCCCACCTGACCTAAATTCCAGTAAGCTGCTACGAATAAAATGTGCACAGTACCCATTTGCCCACAGGTCCTCTAGTGCTAGATGTTAGAGCATGGCTATACAAACAGTTAAAAATAATGGCAATTATAATAATAACAACTCCCTTTGTGAGAACTTACCTACCTAAACAGGAGAGACTAGAAAGAGGAAGGGCAAAGCTATACAGTAGTAACATTAGTCACCGGTTCCATAAAATTGAGCAACTGTGTGTTTTAGGGAGAGGCCTTACCTTCAGCAGTTTTGTAGATAGTTTCAAAACATTGTTGACTAGCGACAGCTGTTCTTTCTTGTTTGGCTTCTTCTCCATCTTTAGATACAAGTTTATCTACAACAGACAGACATTACAGATTCAATGCTAATAGTCTAGCTTTAGCCCTCACCCCACCTACCTCCAACTCCTTTCTAACTGAAGGAAATAGAGCCATTTTTATACCCAGCTTTCACTGTTAAGTGATGCATTTACAGAAGGAGTTGAATAGTGGTCACTCATGCTCTTTTCAAACCCAAAGCCAAAAACAATATAGGATTTTGGAATTTGAATCTGCTCAAGTGTTTAATAGTTGCTGTACAGTGTTCCACTTTAATACTGCACTGCACAAGTTTATAAATTTTACAATTTGATTCCAATATCATTTAATATGGTTTGAGCAATAATTATATCCAAACAAGCCAAAAAGACAAAGGGAGAATGAGCTAAATGGAAATACCTGCTCAGTGAGCAGGATTGAGATATTACTGTACTTCTTGTTGGTTTCAGAGCCCAAAGATGCTAAGCGCAGTAGAAAGAGAAGAAGTGCTGCCTCCCAGATGAGGAACTCCCAGTTGTAAGCTGCATTTAGAAATGTTTTGTGACCCTTAAGAACCTGTGTTAAAAAAAAAAAAAAGCCAATGTCAATAAAGAATAACATGCTGGTTCTTTGGTGGGAGGCAAAAGCCTTGCTCTTATTCTTGTGAACAGATAGCTCTGCTCTAACTACTACCTGGGATTTTTTCCCCCAGGAGGAATTCATTCTTGGAACTAGGTTAAAATAAAAGGACTTGTTTCTAATCTCTTTTTACCTTGAATTTTGCTTTGCTTTCCCGGGTTGTGAGGAACAAGTTCCAACTAATTTAAAAGAACAAGAACATGAAAAATCTCACCTGGGCACAGCATATAAAAGCAATTGAAAGGGCCAGCAAAAAGATTGAGGATACAACAACATCCACAGATCGCTGGGGGCCTCGCCGCTGCAGAAACAGTAATGCTGATTAGGTCTAAGCTTTGTCCTAATGCAGCTGCAAAGACAATGCTCTCCAAAAGCAGTCACAATTGTTTAAATATTCAAACACTGATGTCCAAAGTGCCAGAAAGTAGTGAGGAAAGTGTTAGAGACCTAGTTTATACCCATGTAATAATTAAATGCACCCATTTTAGATCAGAACTCACCTTTAGATAAGAACGAAGGGATAACCAGATCTTAATGTTTTCTACTTTCTTGAGTCTGAAATGAGGGATTTCATATTTCCTGGCTTTCCGAGCTGATGTAATGTGACTAAAAAGTTTGGCAAACAAAAACCTCTGCAAATTATAAAAAAAAAAAAAGCACACAAAACTATTATTTAGTCTAAAAGGGAAAATAAAGTTCTCAGGGATAGCTTACTGGTAACCATGGCAGAAAAAGACATGCTAGAAAAAACTATTTGAACCCTTTCCGTGTGACCTTAGAGGTAAGCAATCATGTTGAGTTTGCATGTGGCAGAGGTACAGCTGCTGTTGCTAGGGCAGCTGAAGCACAACGCTCTCACTAACCAATATGAGACACCCACTTCCCAGCATGGAACATCTGCAGCCCGTTTGACACAGCTATTGCCCACTGAAGGGAGACCAGATGTAACCAACTACCGCATTCTCCATCTTAAAACAGGAAACTTTGTAGGTATTTCCTTCTTCCACTCTAAGCATCACTTCCTTGCAGAGTGCTACTTCAACCTATTGTTAATGGCAAGGAGACTGACCAGCCTCACCTACCTAACCATCTGCTGGGGCTGTCTGTGTCCTGCCAAAGTCTCTTATGAAAGGCAGAAGGATCTCAGCAGGGTTCAGGAAAGGCAATGGTACATTCGCACATACCTGTTTGTATGTTCTCTCAGCAACACACATCATGAAGAAGAACATCCAGGTTAAGCAAAGTCGCTCAAGGAAGTTGATAGCAGACAGAACAATGACAGGAATGCTAGCAGGTGCTCCACAGAAGATGTGCAGAAGCTCCTTCACAGAAATGGAGCACAGCTGCTCCAGGTTATCTGTGTGAAACAGTCTGTAGAGGAATGGCAGGAATGCTAATCCAATGGTGATGATATTGCCCAGCATTTGATACCCTACTCCCTGCTGGTAGGCATTAACCTGATGAGCAGGAAGAAACAAACAACAACAACAAACACACTACTTGTGCATCAATGAAAAGGCAGGCTGCTGCAGCAGCACTAAATCAATCAAGCATCAGCCCCCTCTACCACCATCTCCCAAAGACATGGCATAAAATAATTCCACTTATTTCAGACAGCAAACCATCTCATTCCCCCAAGAAATCAGCACACTGCAGACATACTGCCAACAATACCCATGCTCTTTAGTCTTGAGAGCACCTTTGAGAACTTCCCAATGTTTTGCATATGCAATTACTAAATAAGAATTTTCAAGACAACTGCAGTTTTGGGGGACAGGTGGCAATTTTACACTGCACTTCATATTTGCAGGTATAGCTATTTTCAGTCTGGGGAGAGGAGGAAGAATTGTGCTTTCTTTTGCTTCTCAGTGTGAGAAAGAGGTTGCAGTGCCTTACAGCCCTCTTACCCTGCTCATGATAATCCCACTGATCTCAAGCACAGACATGTCCACCTTCTTACACTCATTTCCTTCCCAGATCAGTGCACTCACTTTTGCAGATGCTGGACTTGTATTCTGTAGCCAAAACAAATGGTTCTATAAAAGAAAAAAAATGCAACAGGCATACAGTGTATTTCTGTCTGTCTGTCTATCAATCCATACTTTGCTTAGGTTGGGTTGCAAAAGGGATTCCAGATTTAATGCTTTGTTTCAGGATTATCAGTTGTCCAAACACCTGGATAGTGAGGGCTCATTATAGCTGCTCAGATCATTCTCCCTCAGCTGACTGAAGGGGATCATCAAGTGGTAGGTGGCAACACAATTCAGACCAATCTTTCCTATTATGTGGGCAGGTACAATACTATGCTGGGGGGGAGGGCAGGGAAAATCAGAGAAGAAAATCTGTGACAGCCTTCTCTGCTACTGTGAACCAACCCACCTGCTGGAAAACATCTTCCTTCAGGTCACGCCTTGCCCCTCGCACAGTCACCTCCTCGCTGTCGCTGGTGCAGGAGGAGCGGCACTCTGGCCCGTGCAGCAGATCGTCCCACAGCATGTCTTCTGTCTCAGAGTCGTGGCGGGTGCTTTCAGAGTCTCTCCGCGTCACGCTGCAGCTCCGGGATCCTGCATTGATGCAGGACCTTGAGTCCTTGAAGGCAAGAAAACATTTGCACAACCACATCTCATGCCTCCAAACAGCTAAATCAGCTTTCAGCTCACACCCACCTGATCCAAACTCACGTGGGGTTTGTTAACAGCAATATTGCACAGTGACAGTTTTGTAATTGGCAGTTGCATGCAAGAAGGCACACAGAAACAGTAGTTACCCTTTGTCTACTTCCAACTTAAACTAAAAATGGACTTAATCATTCAGGTGCTTTTTTTTTTTTTTATCGTTTATACATAAAGATTCTACTTATATTAGCTTTTTATCAATGTATTTTATTTGTATTGGTTTATATTTCATTTTTCGGTGGTGGAAGTAGAAGGGGAGGGAAGATAAAGAAAGGGATACAGTGAAAGCATTTCATGAATATTTAGGTTTCTAAAAGATTTAGATTCACTTCAATGCAAAACCAAAAGCTTAGCATAAAAGCTGCTGTACTGTGCTGCTTCACAAACTATGAACTGAGTTGCTGAAACGCTGTCGTTGAAGGGTGGGTTATCTTAGCTGGGGGCTTTCCTGGCACTGTGCAGGCTCAGTGACCCTACAACCCCTTGCATCATGCCCATACCTGACTATATAATGTGGACTCTAGCTCAGATTCCACAACGCTGTCAGAGTCTCTGGCGCCTTTAAGAGCTTGTTTGACCTGCCAAAACAAATAAAAATCAACTCACTATCCAGAGCATTACATTCAATAGGAAATTACATTAATTCATCATGATCACCTGTGAAACAGCCTGGTTCAGAGAAACAACTGGTCTCTTCTTATTATCTTCATAGCTATTGTCACTGGAGGCCCCATCCACACTCTGGCGTAACAAACTCCTCTGTGCCATCGCCTCAGCATCCTCCTCACTTGAAAGTTCATCAGAAATACCACCTATGTTGGTGCACCCGTCCTGGAAGAACGGCAGCCAAAATCAGTCCATGATTATGGACTTATTTCTGAGGAGCCTCAGAAATAACAGCTCTACAAAGCTCTACATTTTTAAGCTTTTGCAGAGGTCACAATGCTTTAACTCAGTCTTTCCCTCTCCCCGAGGAGATGCTTCAGTCCTTAACTTCATGCTTGCCCCAGAAAGATAATAAAGGGACCTGCTTGCATAAATGCTTTTGAGTATTTGCTTATTTCTTATCATTACCAGCAATTTTCCTGAACTGAACAGCTTCAGCCCGATGTCTCTACAACTAAACAAGCACTTTGATATAACAGATATTTAGGATTGCCTATGCTCAACATATTTAACAGCTGTAACATACACATGGAAATGTGTTGATAGAGTATTAGCATCATGTCAACTGTTCAGCTCAGGAAGCAGAATGGGTTCTTAGGTTTTCCATTTGTAATCAAAAATATGTAGAAAAAGAAGTGTCTTGGATGAGATCAATCCAGTAGCAACAAACTTTTTGGTACATACAGACTATTCTGAAATTAGCCATTTGAAATGGATTTTCCTGCTAGTACCTGATGACTCTTTTCTCCATCGGAAAGTTTATTTTTCTCTTTGAAGGGCAGCAGCCTGTGTTCAGATCTGGTGTGTCTAATGCCATTATTCACAGCACTTGCATCATTTTCTGTCTCAGTCCCCTTTTCAGCCACCATCTTTACTCTTCCGATTCTGAGAGAGAAAATACAATTAAATGCTTTTATAGCAGAGACAAGAGCTTTGGCAATGACATCAGGGTCTTTCACCTGCAATGCAGGTTCTACACTAAGCAGTAACTGAGGGACTACAGAATTGTACTTTGCTGTCAGACACTTCTATGTGCTTTTAATAAAAAGGGTCAATCTGCTTCTCACAAGCTGGTTCCTGTTGTTACCCTGCTAGGGCCCTAAAACTACTAAACCCACAGGAAAGTCTTTTCTTACTGCAATTTTGAAAAACTAACAAAAAACAACTTGTAACTGGCATTACAAACAGACTATACCCAGTAAAGATCACAGACCTCCTTCGGAAGAGTGTGCCAAATAAATTATCAAGAATGGATGCAGATTCTGATTGCTCTTCTTTACTGGCTTTGTCAGGAGAAGGCCAACTGTTCCCATCAACACCCACAGATTTGCGTAATTTCCTGATTTAAAAACAAAACAACTTTTAGGTCTTTCTTAAAAAAAAAATGAATCAGATTTAAACAGCCCATAGATTTTATTGAGTCATACACACAGAAGGCTCATTTCCATATATAATAGAGTTTACTAGGCATAACATAAATTATGCATATACCTACAGGACATCATCACTAATAAATAAATCAAAAAGGACACAACAGACAAAATCTGGATGTTGTCTTAACAGAGCCAAGAACATATCCACATTCACTATTGTGTGTTCAGACACATTATCAGCATCTGCACTGACTTTTCAGACAACTGAAAGTTAAATATCTAACAGATGAACTGTAACATCTTCCACGGGCACAAAAAAAAGATTCCCAGCAATGAAGTCATTTCTGTCATCATTTGCCTCTTATCAACACACATCAGCAATTCTCTGCAGCTAAGGCCAAAGTAGAACTCCAATTTGCTTTGCAAAGCAAACTCCTTGAGGATGCCTGACTGCAGAATAGCTTCCTCTGGCCACAAAAGGACCTGCATTAAAAAGCTACTTTAGAAGAAAGGTCCAGGTGCAAACTAAAGCAGACCTATCATGGTCACTTGCAGCACCTGTACAGGTAGGGAGCAAGTCTGAGAGAAAATACTCATTTTCACATTTATAGTTAAATAATGTGTTTGTACCAAAATAGAATACATTTATGCCCTAACTTCTATCCCGAGCGATCTGCCACGTGCCTCGATCCCAACAAACGATCTGGGCAGCGCTCTCACCTCCGCCGCCTGCTGAGTCCGTTGCTCCCCGAGGGCCTATTCATCTGCGTGGACACTATCTGACAGTGAACAGTCCCCATCAGCAGCATGAGGCACATGGGTCCCATGACTTCACTCGCACTCACAACAGGCATCATGAAATACAACACAACTGCTATCACTGAGAAAGAGAAAAGGGTATCAAACACAAAGGTTACACTGGCAGCTCTCCTACTTTTTTCTTCTGTCTTCACAGTTTATATTTACTGTGTTATATTCTTTCTCCAAATTCTGGTACCAAACATCTTGTAAGACATTTTTTCGCAGAAATTGCTTATTCTGTAGAGTGGTCAACACATCTACCAAAGCATAGGATGAAAAAGCACAAAGGTTAAAAAAAAAAAGTGTTCTGTGAAAAAACACTTCATAACCTTCAGTAGACCAAAATTTCAAATCAGTTCAGAGAAGGAGGCTGATACACAAGAGTCCCAAACTATAAATCGTCACAATGGAGTAGATTTGTTCCTGTACACAGCAATAAAAAGCATCTTCTCTAAACAGCTTCCTTAACACGCTAGTGAGGCTGAAAACTTCTCCACAGACTAAACACAGGACTGCAAGACAAAGAAAGCTGAAAGAACACCTCAAACAAAAGGGGTCTAGTCACAACACAAAGACTCAGGTATATAATACTCCTAGAACTACACATTCTGCAGAGGTTTAATTGACAAAAAAATGTTAAGGTTCAAAAAGATAACACAAGGCTGCCTTAATCCGCATATTTTTAAGACTAGAAAACTGTAAATCTGAATTTTCTAGTCAGATCTGTGCCACACCAAAGACTCTTCACTTAACTGGCCCTACATCAAATCCATATCAGGAACTCCAGCCAGGGCACTGCACCTTGGATGCAGCTGTAGGTACAAACAAGCTGCCTCAAACAGTGCCAGACCCAGGCCAACAAATTAAAATTAGAATCTCTCTTTACACAGGTGATTACTCTTTCCCAATGTCTTACACTAATGAAATACCCTCATCACTCCACATAAAGAGAGCACTCCTGATTACACAGCTGGTTCAAGGTCACCCACAAATACAGCAGCTGTAAATGAAACATAATTAAGCTTTGCTCCAAAGCCCCATTGACAAGACACAGCAGAGCAAACGCAGCACAGGAGGTCACATAATCAGCAGAGAAAAGGTGACCACACACCCTGAGCAAGCCAAGGCAAAGCCCTGCCCAGACCTGAGCACTGCCCATAGATCCTTATCAGGGTGGTTAAGGCTATTACCATCTTCACAAAAGGAGGCCTTGGCACAGGTGCTCCCCCTCCTTACCTTGCATAAGGTAGAGCACCAGAAGCCACGTAAAAATACGCTGCGAGGTAACCTGTATCCACCACTGGCTGAACAATGGGAAAAACACAACCCTCACAATTCCTTTCCTAGTTAGGGATGTCCACGGGATTTCAGGCTTAGCTTTGGCAAAGGTGGAGCCTGGGAACCAAAAGCCAACACAGCCGGGGTTACTGGTGAAGCGCAGGCATGTCCCCAGCCCCACGGCCGCTCTGCCGGGCACGCTGTAGCGCGGGCCGGGGCTCCTGGTCGCTCACCCCGAATGAGATCGACGTCGATGAGGTCAGGCTGGATGTGGCCCTTCTTCCTGGGCTTGCTCTTGAGGCCCTGCAAAGCGGAGAGGCGGCGGTGAGGGGCTGGGGGGCACGGGCCGCGCGCTGCGTGCCACCGTTACCTTCATCTCCGTCTGCTCGATGGACTTCTCCCATATCTGCTGGTCGTAGGCGCCCACCTGCGCAGACAGTGGGCAGTGGGCGCGCGGCCGCCGGCACCGCTGCCGCTTGGGGGCCGCCGCCACTCACCTTCTTCTGGTACCAGGAGATGGCATCGCTGTCGTGGGAGGCCATGGGGCGGGAGAGGCGAGCGCGGCCCAGGCCCAGGCCCCAACGCGAGCCTCGGCCCCGGCCCCGGCCCCGGCCCCGGCCTGCTCCGGCCGTTACCCTGGAGACGCCGGGGCGCGGCGCGCGACTGCCCCGCCTGGCTGAGCCCGCCCCCGCAGGCAGCGCCAGCCGAGTGCCGAGCGCGCAGAACCAGAGCGGCGGGATCGAGCGCTGACCCGCGCAGGGAGCGTCACCGGGACGCCGGCACCGGAACCCCGGCACCGGGACCCCGGCACCGGGACCCAACAGCAATAGCCAGCGAGCAGGTAAAGGACAAAAATCAGACTTTGTTTATTAAAAAAATACTTTACAGGAAAAAATTCTATGCATTCCGTTTGACTATTTTACAAAGAAATAGCTTAACATTTGACACTCTCGTACAGTCAGCTACTGAGAAATGCACTGTGTTAGAAGAGTATTCACAGAGAGGTCGTGGAGCTCCACCTGTTTACACTACTCGGTATAAAACCTCTTAAAACACTTGCTAAATGTCAATAAATATACTAAGGCCGCACAAAGCAAACAGTCTTCCAGGCAATTGTACATTTCCTCTGAGGCAAAGACCTTAGATAAATTAAAACCACAGAAAAATCTTAGCTGCCAATCAAAATCAAATTAAATCACAAAAAACAGCAATACAGAAATCTCTTTACATGTTGTACAAACAAATTAGAAGCGTATGTATTTCTTAAAACACAAGAGTGCCACAGTAAGAGACACCTTCTCAACTACATGTGCTATTGCATCCTAAAAACTACTGTGTATTTTGGTGGAAGGCCAAAATATCATTGGGATTTTTAAGTGGACCAACATAAGAATATACAGTACAAGCTTTCAGGTGAGAGAGGTCACTTTGGGGAGTAAAGACAAATATTCCTCTTTTTCTTGCACCCCTTAAGCAAACATATGGCTACAAATGCTTGGCATTTCTAGGAAATTACAATTTGGGGGGCTATTACTCAGTTCAGGTCTGTAAGTGGGAGGTGCCCGATGAAGGGCGTGAATTCATGTTCACCACAAAAGTTCTGCTGAGCAGCATTAGCTCCTCTGGCCAAACCGTAACGTGGAGGAAAACTGACCGGAGTGCAGTACAGAGCCCTTAGTCGCATGGTAAGACCTAGACCTATGAAGAACATGAACTATATATCCCCTGAGAACAGTCACTCAGTGTCACACCTTCCTGGAAGAGAATAGTGTAATGAGACAGGTATCTGGTTCCAAAATTTCTCAATGGTAATCAAATCACTTCAGAAATGACTGGTAGCTTGCCTAAAGGAGAAAGGAATGCAAAGCTGATCTTTCATCCTTAGTTTGTCCCCAGCACCGTTTATCCACTCACCCTATCCCAAGTGAAACCTGTTCTCAGCAACGCCACTATTTCAAATAGAATCCAAAGCCTGAGTTCCAGCTCAAAGCTGACTGCTCTTCACAGAGAGAGCACTACATTCCTGGTCAACTAGCAGTTGTCTTGAGCATAAAGCAGGAGTGTTGCCTGGGTATCAACTGTAGACTGCCAATTTTCTTTTCTTTTTAAGACACATCAGAGGGCAGATCCTCAAAAGGAGAAATGACAGTTTGCAGTAACTGACCAGTGCATTGATATTTATAAACTTTTGTGTCTATCCATGTTAAAAGTGAGCACTGTTAAAACAGGAAGTTTGCCAACATTTGATTATCCCTACATGCAACCTGTTTTATGAAATATGAGAAATTCATTTAACAGCCATCTATTTAATACGAGAGAGATTTTCCTAAATACTTACTTGGACTTACCCAGAGATTTGTTTTGGCTCAGCAAACACTACACAGATGGAACTTATTTCATTTTAAGAGAGCTGTAGCATATGGAAACAGTATGTCAGGTTACTCACAAAACCATTTGAATCTTTCACATCAAGGTGTTCTAACTCTGCTAGTTTTAGTGCAGCTGAAGGAATCTTGAAGCCCTGGGTAGAGTTTCACTATGAGCTTCACAATCAATCCCTCCCATGTTTTATATCCAGATCCAAGGTGGAGTTTAAAAGCAGTGTATCACTTCAGATTACGCACACCGAAGTTGATAAGGTATTTAAGGTCATAGCTTTTTATAAAGTCTGTTTATAAACAGACTGAGGCAGAGGAGCCTCAATCTTACAGATATAGTCTGGAATAGTATCAGCATCATCCTCCAAGTAATTTGAAGATACAATGTTTCTACATTTAAATCTGACATTAGATATTAAGTTATTAACTGAGGTGACTATAAGGAGAGCATGATAGAAGCAGTCATCTGCTTCCATCCAAGAGGAGTTAGCATTTTCCAAGTACTTCAGATACTGTAGTCACAGATTTAACTATAAGAAGCTACAGCTTTAAAAGCAGCATGAGCCACTCTAGTCATCTTCCTTTATCCATTTAAAAACATGCTATTATAATATGCAGCAGGCTTCCAAATTGATTCCCTTTTCATTCTATTTCAAGTTCTAAAATAATTCAGAGAAACTTGTGTGGTGGCTCTTAATCTCCTTATTTAAAGATCCATGGGCAGAACTGTAGGATCCGCAGACTTGTCAATTCCCGAGTGATTGTACACAGTGCTGCTGTTAAAGAAGTCACCTTACCGACATCCCTCTAGTGACATGACCAAAGAATAGCACATGTGAGAAGGGAATCTGGCACTTGGAAGACTAGCAGACTTGTAAAAAGGAAAGAACATAGTTGTGTAATACGATCTTTGAGTATGAAGGATGAACTGAAACCGCTATTGCCTGTGAGGAATTTTACTTTGCACAATCCTTAAAGCTATGAAATTCCTCTCAACATAAGAAGTAGAAGGGCAGAGTCAGGAAGAGGGGGAGCGGGGAAACACCAGAGAACAGACAGCTCATTTCTGAGCCAATCCTGATCATCTAGAATTTCTGCTAAGATTAAATTACACCCCTGCGTGAATCACATTACTTTTCATCATAAAAGCTTTCCATTCTAACACCTTATTTACACAGATTACTAAACAAGTCACTACCACTTCAATCTGCAAATTAGTTTGAAATATTTCCTAGTCCTCATTTTTGTACCGAAGACAATACATACATATACATAAGGAGTAATACAGGTTCTAACTAATCACTGCAGTATCTTCTGATGATTATTCTTCTATCAGTTTAAAATAGTGACCTCTACACTGAGGTGCTAATATGTATATAAAAGTCTACACAAACAATATTGCACAAAGATTTATAATATAGTAACATATTTTAGAGACCCTTATAAAGAGAAGAGTAATAATTGATATTAAAAAGATGCATCCAGAACTAACACAGCATCTTTGCTTTTGTCTAGTCTAACATAGTGTTTCAAATCTTTCCTACCCCAGTGAGGATTAGAACAAATAAAGTTATCATCTGAAGGCAACTTCAGTTGCACCAAAGCCCAACTTGTACTCTAAATGTGCAGAGGGTGTTAGAGGTGAAGGGACAGGACAGGATTTTTCCTTTTGATGACTGGAAAGGACAGTTGTAAATGGGGTGAGTGAAAGTCAATTACAGATTACACATTAACATTCAGAAATATTGAAAGTTTTTTTCTTTTTAAAACTGTTGATAGCTGACATTACATATTTAGCATGTGCCATTGATTTTCCACAGTACCTGGGCACTCAAAAGCTACACATGGAAACAGCAGTCCAATGCCATAACATTTTATTGTGAAATAGTAACACAGAACTTCCTAAAATAAGGACAGTCTTATCGCATAAGTCAGTCGTCAACTCAATGCTAATATATTAAGTGCATCAGTACCAGGGAAAGTGTGGTTCCATTGGCATTTACTATGACCTGGTCAAAACAAGCTGCCAAGTTAGTTAGTATTTTAAAGCCTTAAAGTGCTCAAAGATAGCAGTTTCTTCCACAAGACTACCATTAGCTTCTCTAATTTTGCCACTAGAATTAATCATGTTCTGGGAAGATGTGTTTTGGAAGCAAAATCCTCACGCCAAACAGCATAAGTAGTTCTATAGAAAGTGTTAGGTCAGTAAATCACTACATCAGACACTTTCTTCAGTTAATTTTACAGCTCACCATTGCCGGACTGTAAGAAATTGAGATCAATTTCTATACAACTTTTAAATTAGGTTGTCAAGAAGAACAGACATACCAAAAATATTACAAATCACCAAAAGTGCTGTGCTTCCTCTTTTTCTTAGCAATTAAGATGAGATGGGAAAGTCGCTTTGCAAGTCTTCTACAAAAAACCATCACTTTATGGTGAAGATCAGAGATAAAGTAAAAGTAGGGAAATAACACTGACCAATGTAGTTCAATCATTTTATGTTCCTGGAGGAATTTCATTCCGACTTTGGGGAGATACTGAGTATCTCTTTACTGAAACAGAAAGAAGTGGTAGACCACTGTTACAGGTTGTACTAAGGGGTTAAAATACAACTTGAATTTTGCATAATCTGTGTAAAAAAGATATGCTTGACATTTTGGAATGTCACCTTTCTTTATAGAATTATAGGCAAGATTTCTCCAATAAAACATAAGCCAGTTATAAAACTATAACTTCACATCAAAACTTTAAAAAGTTGTTAAAAAATGTTTGATTATATACATATCACACAGAAGAGCCTGTATGATCCTGTGGATTGTGTTGCTGATCAGACTCTACTTTAAAACCTGGAAGGGGTCGGGCCACCTGTTCTGGTTGCACAAGTCCTGATATTGAAGAAACAGAGGAGGAGGAGGAGGAAGAGAGCACGCCTGTTGCAAACTGCATTTCTATACCTGGTTCTTCAGACTCTATTTTTATACTCACACATTGGGGTTCATCTTCCGATTCTGTCTTGCCACTATTGTTCAAGCTTGAATTGCCCTCTGTGTTTTGAGAAGTCTCCTCCACAGGATGATATTGTTTAAGTCTTATGTGCCATGCTAAACTGCAGACTGCTGACACAGTTTTAAATTGATGAATGACATTTCTAGGGATGAAGTAGATGTCATTGTCACACAACTGAATTCTAGCATAGCGAATGCCTTCCCGTCTCATTTGGTTTAGTTTGGCTTCATCCACCCATTGAACACACTGAGAGGAGGAAAGATGATAAAGTTACTGGTAGAATCTTACATGCAAAAATATACATATTTTCTATAATACATGTTAGTGGTGTATATATTTCTACAGGATGCTTTCTTTGTAATGCCATTATACTGAATAATGTTTTTTTGCTCTATCAGGGCCTACTGGTCACAAATTAACTTAGTTATAACTACCTAACTAACAATTTTGCAGGTACTGAACTGAACTTAAGACTTTGGATGAGAATGAAAATAGCATATAAAAAAGCTCTCAGCATAAATCCCAGTTTGATACAAAGAAACATGAGAAAGGCAATTGCTTTACAGAGCTGAGAACTGAGGGCTGCTGACAATACAAAAGGGCTGGATATACAGTGAACCCCAAAATTATCAGAAATTACTTTCAAAATATTAAGAAAGTGTTGTCACCAAGGAAGAATCAATACCTGTGACACTGGAGGTTCATGCAGATCCAGCTGAAGTCTCTGCACAACATCAGTGAAGTCTTCAGCGTGAAAACAAACCACATCTTTGGTTATACGAGGCTGGTCACTCCTAAAAAGAGATAAACCCAGGAATTTTTAAAGCATTTGAGTTAGAGAGTATTACTGTTCTTCCAGAGAAGTGTTTCACTGAAAAAAAGTAGCTAGTTTGTTCTGCAGATGGACATGAAATCTCCTTTCTTCTCAATAAATACACATTATTTAGGAAAGAAGCTGTAATAGATCTGTTTTATTTTGCTTTTTTCCTTAATGCATATGCAACAGAAATTATGGTTTTGTGGACAAATACTGTGCTAAAGTATCAGAAAACTAGGTTCAAATTGCCACTCTGGTGAAATTTACTGTTATGGATGTAATTTGCTAAATTCTTCCATCCTGTAATTGGATCAACATTCCTACATTAAAGGAAAAATGTAAAATAAACATGTGGCACTCTGAACCCGTAATGGTAAAGACAATATCTATCAGCTCTTTGTCCAATAACTGTGAAACAGGGTAAAGGAAGTTTTGGCCCCTTTTACTCATATTCAAATCTAATGAGATTGCTGATGATGCTATCCATTATTTCTAACTATTACAGTAAAAAATGTTGCAAGTCTGTAATTTAGAATGCCTTATGTGCAAGGTCAAGAGCCATGTCATGGGTTATGAAATACAAAAGCATTACAGTTTTGAAATTGATCCAGTTAGATGGTCAGTTTACAGAAGTTAGCATTAACGCAACTACTCAGGAAAGCAGCAATCACAGATCATGCACAGGTATCATGTTTTAAGTGCCCTTATTTTGAATGAGGCTAAAATACACTGAAAACTGCTACTGCAACTTCTACAGTACCTCAAAATGGTAGAAGAGAAAAAAAAGGATAGTACACATTTTTCAACTTCCAGACACCATTTACCTTATTAAAAGGTTTGAATGCTTTCTGTAGTTAGACTTGTTTTCCAGCGAGTTTTCTTTTTTAGGAGAGAATGTTTAAGATTTCCCCCTCCCACCAGGATAGTTTTTTCAGTTGCACTTACCACTCCCCAAATTGTACAGCCTTCAGAACACCTACAGCAGCTGTACTCTGCCAGTCAAATCCTTGACCCACATGATCAGCGTGAGCTCTTGTTCTGTCTTCAAAAAGAACCTCACGGGGCTCACTGGTCCGAGGTAGGTACTGGAGATTCTTTATTTCATTCATTGATCTACAGCACAATCAAAAGGTATGCTGAAATATGTTTCAGAGTAATCATAAAAATGTATCTAAAATAATCTTTTAAAATGTAGTTTCCTGCAGGTTTCAAAATCTATTTCCCTTGATTTATTTCAGGTGCCTGACAATAAAAGACTATGCAAACTATGTACCATATACAGCTAAGTTATGCTGTCATAACTGAGCTCAGGTTATGACAGCGAACTTTTCAGAACAGACATCTATCTACCAAAATAAGTTTTGTTCCTTTAGGAAAGAAAAGAATTTTTATAAATGTAACGACATGTAAAATTGATCTATTTTAATAGTCACTAGAGTTATTTGAGAGTACCTTCAGATATTCTGCACAAGGTAGCAATTGAAATTTACAATCGTTGTCTCTTAAAATTAGCTCTACAGAGCACTCATCTAAGAAATATCAAGTGTTTGTATGCATAAATACATGTGCATCTATGCACACACAGGGATGCACGCACACACACCATACAGTACTTCCCAGGAAAGCACAGAGCATATTGCAACTACCTATGCGCTAACATTAAGATGCAACTTTCATTGTCTAAAGATCTCTACTATTTTATATCATCTCCCTCACCTTTACTGCCTAATTAGTTTCCCCACAGAAACTGGATGAAAATTACTGAAAGGTTACAGGAGTTACAATATTAAGGAAGTATTGATCTAAGTTGCAATTAGCCTTCTGAAGAACTAATTACATATAAATATTTAGTATGTGTTCTCAAAACTCAAAACAGGTAACACTCATGTTTTTCCTTTAATAAGTAAAGGAAAGCAAAATGTTACCGTCGCCGTTTGAATGGTGATTTTGGCATATCAGCTGTCGGAATCATCTGTTCTCCTGGTCTCACCCACATTATGGGACCATCATCACTCTGTGACCTGCACTGAAGTCTGAGACTAGAAAGAGTACCCCAGGGCAAAGTCATCTACAAAAAATAAAAAAAAAATAAAATAAAAACATAAACCAAAAAAACACCACTGAGTGAGATAGATAAATAATGCCTTTAGGAAAACTGGTTCAAACAAATAAATGTAGAGAAAGTGATGCAAGTTCCAGGAGGTAAAATATATTCTAAGCTAAGCTCATCAAACTTAGTTTTTAGGAAAGTAAACAATTACTTAGTATGTATGACATGATGAACCAAATTTTAAGTTTTGAATAATTTATGTAACTATTCCGTTAGTTCAATTCCTTTCATTTGGACAGATGAAAGAATGTACCACCATCCTCAGTGGCCTATAATGAGTACATCATTGCAAATAATCAGTGGAAAAAGTGGCCTCACAGTTTCTAATTACCTGGAAATATCTGAAATTTAGCAATTTACAAAATATCAACAGCACTTCAAACAGATCATCATGAGTTACTGCTTACTCTCAGAAATGGAGATTCTTCCAACATATCTAGAAATTCTGGGAAGTAGTCCCCAACTTCTTCATCTACTGCTCCAACAAGACTAATCTGCCGCATGGGTCCTGCTCTGTATGTTCCACAGCAGTATGTCCGATTGACCTGAGGAGCCAGAAGGAAAAGAACAATATCACTGTAGTTTTATGATATCAAAGCACAGAAAATTAAAAACTATTAATACAATTCTACCTGCATACGCAGAAGGTTCCACTCATAAGAGTTTCACTGTAGATCAAGCACTCTACTTCCAAGTCCATCAAAGCTATTAGCAGCTCAAGGGACATACATTCTTCTTCTGGTTTTGACAGTACTGATTTTTATGAACTAGGCACTATCCTCACAGGCCAAGAGATTTGGCAATCCAAATCAAAGTCTCCAAATAGTATTTGGACCTTTCAGGCTAAGGTTCTTACTCAATGTCAATAAGGTAGAATAACAACTTTACCAGCTACCTCAGATGAATTTCAGAACAGTAGTATTAAAAGATCGTGGTATGAAGCTATTCTTTTGCCCTAACAGGAGAACTCAGTGGTTAAAAAGAATTGGATAAAGGTACCTAACGCCAACTACAAGTTAAACTATAATTTAAGGCTTCATTTTTCATTGAGACATTTTATGGCATTTGAATGCTTTGCCTTAGACGTTTCACATACTTGAGTAACAGCAGAAGTAGACAGAATCAGTTTTTCCCTGAAGTAACAGCTTGGGTAGTTGATTACTGAGGTAATTCAGACCCTCCCTCATGAACAGTCAAGCAAGCCCTGTACCTCTGTCTGGTAGGAAGAGTGTCCTCACATGAGGCTTCAGCTTGAAACAAATTAAGTCTGAGAAATTTCTCCAAACAAAAGCATGAATCAAGGGGTCATTATCATCATAGCTGACCTGACATACTAATAATTGCTGTGATGAAGAAAGAATACATAAAGACTTGCTATTTACAACACAAGTGAAAGAAATGAGGACAATGTGACAGACAATTGCAGCAGGGTTTGCATTTTTGTCCCAAACTGTCAGCTACTTCCATAAGACCCGATATTGCTTATGTTGCTTTGAGCAATACACCAAATTAAAGTCTGTAGCACAAATGCACACATTCTTCATTTTATATTTTGATAGCTTCTCCAAATAATGTTGTCCATCCAGCATAAGAAAGCTTTTGTTCAGAGTTAGAAAAGATAGAGGGCAGAGCACCAAGTTGTGATATGGTTCATTAACTAAAGCTCTTGAGAATATTGATTGTAACTTTATCTGACAACATGTTCCAAGAATGGGGGAACTTATCCTACTATCCTCTGTTTGTTGCTTCTCCCACTTCCTTCCCAGTAGCAGTATCAGTTTACACAAACCTACTTCCCCCAACTCTTTCCTGGCCTCCTCCCAGAACCTATTCAGTTGTGACAGTTTAACCATTCTTTGGACCATAAAGCAAAACAGAATAGGCAGATGATCAGATTCAATTTGACGAGAGAAAAAAAAGTTTTCAACTATTTATGTATTCCAATTCACTGTGTAGCCCTAAAAGCAACTGTATTGAGACAGTCGATAGGGAAATATATTGTTCAAGTCACATTGTCAATAACTTTCAAATTAAAGCATGCTTATTGTGCAATAAGCTTCAAACAGCTTACAAATTGCTGTTCTTAGTGATTTGAGTCTTGAAAGCTCTCAGTAAAAGTGAATAGCTCCAAACTGAAGCTTATCTTTAGCTTAAATATAGAACAAATGAGCCAGAATAGGTTAAAAAAACCCAGAGAACACTCAAACTTAGCAAGTATTTTAATGTACAGAGCCATACAGACACAGTACCTTTATACTGCAAAGATAAAAGTTGGAGTGCTTTACTGTAGGTAAAGTAACAGATACCCAAGTACTAGTTCATATTATATACAGATAGGAAAGACAAGTTAATTGAGTTTACACTGTTTTCATTGCCCTGAGAATGTATGAATTCACCCTGCAAGTAAGATCATTATCACTAGGTTTTGTGAAGTCTCCCAGAATAATGTCCTTACTTTAACTGGTAGACACTCAGTGCTGATACTCAAGGCTGCAAAGGAATGACAATTCTGCAGGCCAGTTCTAAAACGAAGAACCACTTAATATCTTGGCCTATCCTCCCTATGATTTCTTCAAAACAAGTTTATTACAGCATTTTAGCCTTCTGTTTCAAGATGAGCTAGCTTTCAAGACTCAGTTTGGGTTTTAACAAGATGCAGTTACCATAGTTGAATTTGCTGTCAATTTAAGCAAATTTAAGTGAGATATTTGAACATCATCCATACACTAAAGACTCATGTTCCAGCTGTCTTTAACAGCAGAGTTGTCACAGCTGTGCCTCTACACATTTGTTTACTGTGTGAATCACACTAACATACTTCAGCCTAAGGGGATTAATCAGGTCATGCTAGAGCTGGATTTAGAGAGTTGTTTCAGCATAAATGAAACTAGTGTCATGACTCACTCTTGACCAAGTTTAGACAGAACTTAATATTAATTGAAATACCACAGCAGAATATAACCCAGATCCTCTTATTCATGACCATACATTCCACACATACAAGCTTCCAGTACAAGCTAGTCACCTTTACAAGACCATTAGCCAGGAAAAACAATTGCTACATAGCCGGATGGTGCTGTTGAGCCATTTCAGAGAGCTGTTACATGTACACCAAACAAGTAAGAAGGTAACCAATATGCCAAAGAGCATATGATATAAATAACAGAAGACTTAAACTCAACATCTTGACAAGTTGCCTGTCTTTGGAATACAGGTTCAGATATGTTTTGTGTAAAAGTTTCTTGCTGATGAGGAACGAGTTGTACATTAAGGCTGTTACTGGAATACTACACATTCTGATGCAGCTCTTCCAGTTCAGAAGATGTAATCCATGAAGATGTTAAAAGGTGCTGTAGCAGCAATATGTTATGGAAGACAAGCTTCCAAACAAAGGTTTACATAATTACTATTTTAAGTGCTGTCTGAAAGAAACTCTGGGAAGCTTTAAAAGCCTCTGCAAGTTATCATACAGTACCCTTCTGTGAAAAGGTACTATACTTTCTGTGAAAAAAAACTATGAAGTTTTCAGAATATGTTAAGTCTACTGCAAAAAACAAGGCAGTTTAACTGGTTTCAGGAAAGCTTTCACATAAAAACTCCAACTCTTTCTGAGGAGTTAGCTTCAGGTAGAAACACTAATAAACAGCACAGTAGAAGTCCCAACATCATAATTTTTCATCTTAGAGGAAAAGAGAAAACAAAAACAACTCATGCCTCAAATGCTTATATACCACATCTTTTATGCACCTCTTATGGCCTCACCATTCTGGATTAAGCAGATTAATCACATCTGGACACCGTCTATTTTACATGACTTTAAACAATTCTTACCTGAGAGTGAAAGTTCGAAATTGTTGTTGTTTCAATGTCTTTCTTGCCCAAGATTTCCATTTTCACTGGAGTATTAGGAAAGTTAAAAGCAAAGTAATCCAGGAAGTCTGGTAAATAAGCAGCTGCCCCATGTACTATGGCTAGAGCATAGTAAGCTGCATTTTTATCGTTTTCACTGAATGACAAAGCAAGAAATTCTTCTGCAAATCTCTCCATCTCCACTGGAGACAAAAATGAGAGTTCATCCATGTAAGCATGAAGGACCAGAGCGCCACCATTAGACTGATGTTCTTCGTGAATGAAGTTGCTAAATTTAGTGCCAGTTTTCAAGAAGCTGCTGCGAACAGAATGCTCCTGGTGAGTCACAAATGGTGTCTGTACTCCCTGGGGTACTCGATATTCCTGCATTCCCAAATTCAGTCTGCAGAGCTGCTCATCCTTCAGATACCTGAAGGATTCCTTGTTCATTTCCAAGTTATCACATTGTCCTTGAGTCAGGATTTCTTGGTCAATGCGAGTGAGCCCAGCACAAACCGTCTGCACTTCTTTGTTGTACATCTTTAGGCGTTTTCCCCTCACATCTTCCCGGTGTTTCTTTTTCTTTTTTTTCTTTATCTTCTTCATAATGAGACCGTCAGCTCGCTGGGTTTTGCCATTTTCATCTGGAGTTTCTGGCAGCAACAGTAAAGAGAAGATTAGAGTTCTGCAATTACAGCACATTCACTCAACAAGAATTGAGACACACCAACTAAAGTTATTTATTCCCACAATATCTTGTTGTCTTTACAGATTTTACTTATACAATAACAAAATAAAAGTAGCATATCTAGTTATTATGAAAAAAGCCTCAAATTAAGAAAGTTTCCCAAAAGTCAAGCTTAATATTCCAGTTTAGGAATTTTTTTTTTTTTTTGAGATTATAAAAAACTAAGTCTTTATAGGAAAGATCAGTGGTCCAACTGGTATTTCCAAAACACTGAGAACAGTGTAAAACAAAACTAAGTTTCATCATGTCGAACTGAGCAGACACTTTTTAAGTGAAATATATAAAAACGACATTTATAATATTAACAGTCAGCACCAAGCTCACTCATGAAATCTTATTTTTTGGTCATTAAAGATTAAAATTCAGGTTCTACAGCAGCCTCAAGGCCCTCTTCCTGGCTCCCCTGCCAGTTCCCAAAGGGTAGGGAGCCCAGCAGAAGGCAACTGGTGAGAGATCTCATGCTGGTCACACACCTGATAGGTACAAATATTAGGTAACAACATTTTTAATTCTCACTATAAAGTGGCTCTGTCAAAATGATGACAGACTTTTTTGCTCTTTAGCACTACTTCAAGGCACCCAGTCTTCAGGTAGTGGCTTGCTCAAAAACTCACTATATTAAGAGTGCCAAATAAATGCTATTTAGTTCAGATGGAACTCAGTATTAACATATGCTGTTAAGCTACATACCAACCTGTGCAAGAAGAAAAATATCTGAAGCATCACCTCCACATTTTCAGCTGTCTTTCTAGTTTAGTACTGTTTTTGTTAGTTATCTAATTCAAAATCACAGAATAAAGTTTTAGTTTGGGGGGTGGGGAAGAGAGTGGATTTTTTTTTCTTTTTCGCAGTTTAATCTTCAAATGGTCTGAAGACAGAAGGTTTTCAGAGAGAAAAATAGAAAAACAGTTCTGTCAGGCTCAAGGCAGTTGTTTAGTAGTTTATCTTCGAGGATTAAGATAGAATTCAAATAAAACGTAGCTAGTAACAACAGTAGTTAGAAATTCAATTGCCCAGATTTTTAAAATAGTGCCAAACCAGTATTTTAGTCTTCCTGTATTAAAGGACTATTTCACGTCCCTGATGCATACAAAACACTACGTGCCATATCATCAGGACAGCTAAAGGAAGTTAATATCTGACTAAAAGCTGCCACAGCTAGGGTGTGTTACCCACAGCACAGGGCTATGCGCTGAATTTACTTTTTCTTGTGTTCCTTTCTTGTTCCCTTGCAGTACATGGGAGAAAAATATATGTTACTATTGTGATCTACAAGAAGAAATAGCAAATTCAAAGCTTCAAGCTGTGCAGTTTGACCACAGTATTTAGCTATATCATTAGTAGTTTGTTCCCAGAGCTCTTCAGCAAAGGCAGTTGACCTTCACAACAGCCTAGCATAACGAACAGAATTACTCATGAAGCAAAGAAATAGGTGATTGCTTAATACCAACTTTATACAACTGTCTTTGGACCTGAAATACGAGTTTTCATGGCATTGCTGTCACGCATAACCTCTACAAATAGCAACTGTCCTTATTCTTTTATTACAGATAGGGAAATCAGGAAAGAAGTGTTGCAGCAGTTGTTTTGATAACACAGCTTATTCATAGAGTGGTTTCAGTTACTAGTGAATCCTAAAAGTCAGGCTTGCATAAGCTTACCAGCTCTGAGTTATAGCTACTAGCTTCACTGAACAAACCATTTGCACAGAGAAGATCCTTAAGTTGGGGAGAGAGAGATTCAAATCTAAGCTGGAATTACAAGAGAGCTTTTTACCACTAAATAGGTATTAGAAATAACTCCTTACTTTTAAGATGATTTTTTTTAATATTATACATATCTTACTTTAACTATTTCTAACTTTAGATACAATTTAAAAGCCACAGTTGCGTACTAGGTATAATGTGGAAAACCTTCCTGCTTGGAGACATTCCCTAATACTCCTTATCAGATGTAAGCCTCGTGCTCTTTGTACTGTGGAACCTCCACTGAGCACTGTGGTCTGTTTTCAGGAGAGCTGCCACCCCAGCTCCCCTCACTGCTGTACCCAACAGAGCAGGGACCCCCTGCTGCGCTCAGGGCAGACTCGGCAGCAAGGGAGGCTAGATAGCAGTAAACTCGGTATTAAGTTATTCCTTCAAGTGAATGGATAACCTTCAGTACTTCAAATATCGAAGGGACCACAGTCAGGTCACTCAGCAGACACACAGGCTCTCACAGTGAAAGAGAACGAGAGCTGTGCCAGGAACTTTAGCTAGTTTATTAGTCATGCAAATAAACTTCCTAACATCGCCGTAACATCAACCAAAACACCACAAGTGTTCACAGACACCTGCGGCCTAAACAGGAACATGGCAGACAGAGAGAGACAGATAAATCAGACCACATATGGAAATAGAAACTGATAGTGAGAAGTAGTGGGAGGGGAAAAAAAGAAAGAAGGAAAAATAAAGCAGCTTTCTTTGGCAATTTTGGAATGCTGACAGTAATTTTAGTAGTGTTTAAGACTTAAACTCAGAGACATGCTTATTTAGTTACTATCTTGGAGCTGCTGCACAGTGGCATTCCCAGTTTAATAAAATCTCTCTACTTCTGTTTCCCCAGATGCAGTAGCTGGCACTCACTCTACCAAGGTAACTTCCACAAGCACATGCACAACACCTTCACCCTCCCAGAGCATAATTCACAGTGCAGTTTGCCTGTTGCAGCAGCTTTGCGATCGTCTACACTGATTTTCAAAAGGATTTTCACTATCACAAGTGTGTGAGAACAATCAATAGTGATTTAGAACTGTAAGAAAATAAACAAGCAAACGGTCGAGCGTCACCGCGGAAATTCCGCCCTGACCCCTTTGAGCAACTTGAGGCGCTGAGCGAACGCGCGGCCCGCAGCTCCAGCGGACACCGGCTCGAGCGCGACACGGAGAAAGTTTCGCCGCCAGCCCCTGTTACCGGGCGGCCCGGCGGGCTCGGCGCGGGGCGCTGCGGCCTTGCGCCCCGCTCGGTAACGAACCGGGGGCTCCCGGAGGCGACGCCGCTCGGCCCAGCAGGCCGGGATGGAGCCGCGGCCCGGCCGGGGCGCCAGGCCGCTCCGCCCCGCTCCTCACCTCGCTTGCTGGGCCGCCCGGCCGCGCCGTCGGCGGGGCTGCCCCGCCGCGCCTTCTGCGGCGGCCCGGCGGCGGGGCGGCCGGGCTCGGGGCCGACGGCGGGGCGGTGCCGGTGGTGGTGGTGGCGCCGCTCGTCCAGCGCAGCGGGCGGCGGCAGGCTGAGCGGCGAGAACGTGAAGAGCCCGGCGGCGGGCAGGCCGGGCAGGGCGGGCGCGGGCAGCGGCTCCGCCGGGCCGGGCCCCGCCAGCAACGGCTGGCTCAGCCGGGCCCGCTTGGCGCCCGCCGCCGCCTCGCCCGTCCCACTGCGCCGCCGCCGCCCGCCGCCGCCGCGGGGCCGGCCGGGCCGCTCGCCCGAGGGGAGCGGGGGTGGCTCCTCGGGGGCCCGCGCCACGGCGCGCACCGCAGCGACCTGCGCAGCCATTTCACGGGCTCCCTCACACACATTTAAATGGCCCGAGCGCCAGGCGCCCGCGCGCAGGCGCCGCGCGGAGCCCCTGGGAGCTGTAGTCCGTCGCGGCGCGCCGGGAAGCGTAGTCCCGCGGCGGGCGCATGCGCGGGCGCCCTAACGGCCAGCGCGCGGCGCACGCGTCGCTGCCGTCCCGCTCTAACGGCCCGCGGGCGGCGCCAACGGCCGCGGCTGCTCGCGAGGGGGAGCGCGGGAGCCGCTGGGCGGCGGGCGGGCGGCCGGGCTCTGCTGCTGCGGCTTCCTTGCACGGGCACCGGCATGCCCCAAAGCAGGCGGCAGCGGCACGTTTCGGCCGCCGGGCTCCTGGGTGTCCCGCGTGCCGCCAGCCGTGCCAGGAATCCCCTCACACGCGCGCTTGCGCCCGCCACATCGGTCAGCCCTGGCACCTGAGCCACATCAGCTGTTTATCTCTGTACCACTTTTCTCACAGCGGCAGTTAAATGCTTCATTGATTCAACATTTGGGTACAATGCTTCAAGTTGCAATTAAAAGACATTAAATAACAGCAAATGTCACTTTTACTCGTGGCTGGTGTCAGAAGTCTTGGCCGCTAATGAAGGCTATGCAGGGCATGGATCTGCCCCCCAAGACAGAGCCCAAACAGGAAAACAAGCGTAAGAAGCAGCTTTCAACATCTTTGCTTCTCCTCACCTCAGATATAAATAGTAGGAAAACAGATTCCAGAGTGGGGTAGGGGGTGTCAGTCTCAAAATCTGTCTACCAAGTTGTCTGCCTGAAATGGTGTGTGGTGCTTTGATGCATCAAAAATCCTTAAAAAAAAGTGCATTGCCTTTATAATACATTTATATTTTGTTGTACTTTTTTCAGATGGTGAGGGCAATTAGGCCAGCTAATTACACAGTCATTACACGTTTAGTTTCTATACGAACAATCAAACATCTCAAGTCTTACTGACTAAAAATCTAGAAAAAAGGTACCTGACTCACTCAAATAAGAAAATTTAACTTACAGAAAAATGTTTCTATAAAATCTGATGCGTAAATTCTTTTAGTGCCAGTGTTGTAAATATATAAGCAAATGTAGATCTTCGAGCAACATGATTATACATGTAAGTGAAGTTATACATAAGCCACATTTGCAGCACCCAGATTTGTGTTTTGCTTTGGTCAGTCTTTTGCTGTCATATCTTCTCACTGTCTTCACTGGAAGTCTTCACTCTCAGTTAGCACTGCATGTTTTGAAGACTCAAGTCCATCATTTTGAAGTCAGTTCATCCCAAAACAAGAAAAAAATGTCACTTAGTACAATGAAATATCCTTTTTTTTTCCAGCTTCCATCCTGTTAAAAGTTAATTAAAAGTGCCAAGCTGCTTATTTTTGTATATTGTTCTTTAAGACTTCAGTTGATAAAGAATGTGCAAGTAGTGCCTCAGCTGCAAACTTTGTGCAACACTCTGATTTGCTTAATCTGGTGAAAATTCTTATTTGGAAGAGCACTCAAGGCATGCCAGAAGGACACCTCTCAAATCTGCAACAGAATCTATACAGTTTGTCTAAAGATTCCATGTTGTTGGTGGATTTCTTGGTCCTTTAGGTTTTGAAAATCGAGTTGCAAAGCCTAGGAACAAAACTTTTTTTAATGAAACAAATTCAGTATGTAATTATAGATGTTGATCGTGTCATTACTTAAGATAATACATTTTTAAAAAACCTCTGACTTCAATTCTGAACTTTAAGATACACTTGATTTAAAACAACATCCTGTAGTTGAAAGTCAATGGCTACACTCACTTCATATAGCCTATAAATGTATATGTCAACAAATACTGTCATTATAACGTTAGTAACAAGAACACAACTAGATTTTGTACCAATCTAATAAGTGACTGATCGTTTTAATGGAAGATTCTTAAGGAAAACGTAGTGACTTTCCTCTCCTATATTATATAGCATGAGGCAGCAGTCTAATGGAAATATAACAGCTTTATATTTGTCTTCTGCTCTCTCTGTTACCACATAAAGGCCAAGTCTTTCAGATACAGGAAAACCAAATATACATTGTTCGCACCCTTTACACACTGAGAAATATTTGTCAGCGCAGGTTTCAGGGTTTGTGAACCTTCCCCCATTCTTGAAATAATTCATGTATAATGTAAATGTGTAAAAACAGTAATTATTACTTGTTATTACTCTACAGAATAGAATTATTACTCTACATAATAGAATATCTGATAATTGCCACAATAACAGATTAAAAGTATTCAGAAATACAGACAGAATCCCATTACATTAAATTAAATTATGTAGACAAGGAATTGCCTGGTTCTACTTTCAGACACTACTTCACTTGAAAGTATTAGAATTCAACCTGATGCCTGCATTCAGACCTTTAAACAAAACTTCTTATATCAGAAAGTAAAGATAATAACATACCAAAATTAAGAAAAGAGCTTGAATGGTTTGATGGGGCAGATTCTGGTGGTTTTGTCTTTGAAGATGGGCTACAAATACCTAGAAATATAGTATTAAACTCAGAGAGTTAGTGCCCATCTCAGTTTCCTGAAAAGCTGGATTCATGCATACCTATGGGAAAACACATACTGCCACATGCACACTAAGGTTAGGCACAGAGGCTGTTTCAGCCCAAGATGAAATTAAGAATTTTCCATGCTATCTGAGCTTGAATACTGCACAGTTTTAAATGCATTATTTGCTTATAACAGGGAGTGAATGCACTACTTTGTTTATTTATTTATTTTTATATATACTTGGTTAAAGCCTTTAGGAAGATGCACGTTAGCTTGAGAGATACTTACTTTTTTTCACATTTTTCAATATTTTCAAGCTCTGTAAAGAAATGTGAAGAAAAAGAGGGCTTATTGAAAAAAAAAAACACAGCAAGCATGAAATCAGTGAATACGAGAAAATGAATTCAGGTTTTGCTTGCAGTTTTACAGCAAAATATGGAAGCATTTCAAAAGCAGGCCACTATTCTGCCACCGTTTTCAGACATTTTGCAATAAGAAAGTAACACTATCCATAGCTAGAAAGATGGCTTCTTCTCACCCTCTCCTTTTTCAATCGCTTTTGTTTTGTATTCCTCTGTACCTTGCTTCTCCTGAAGCACACCATAGGCTCTTTGGATGGCATTTCAGAAGCTTTATTGCCCGGCTCCCAAGGACCGCTTGTGGAATTCCTTGCAGCGGGCTGCAGACCTGAGAACATGCACCAAAACATTTTTAGTGGTCATTCGTGAATCTTCCTGTTTTGCTTTTAAGTGCTTTGCTACGGTTTTTCATTTCCTCCAATGCCTCCGTTTCAGAAGGGGGAAGTGATGGTAATCTTCCCAGCAAGTCTCCTGGTTTCATTTACTTCCTTTTATATCTGCTAAATTCCTCTGCAGCTAAGTCCCGAAGCACGACCCTCAGTAATGTTTTGAGCAAGTGGGCCATAATCTCCTCAGCGAAGCACAGATTTAGGTTAAGTATAAAATCTCAGTTACATATACACAAAATAAATTGTCACTTACTGCCTGCGTCAGCAAGAACAAATGATTCCGGGGTTCTTTCAGGAAGCGGAGGAGGGGAGTTAGAGCGATCCCTACTTATCTCTAAGACAACAAAGATAAAAGATTTACTTAATTGGCATAATAATAATAATAATAATAATAATAATACACTGGCAGTTCAATGAGAGAGCCACAACAATGTAATATACATTTATCTCGATCCTTTGAAGGAAACACCAGACATGCAGTCAGAGATGCAACTCCCTTTAGCAGAGGAGACTGGAAGGAACATCCCAGTAAATGAGCATGGGATGATACAGTGGCTCATTAGGAAATATAAAACAACCAGCTCGTTTGGTTGTTGGACTATTTAGACAGTGAACACGACGTGTGTTGCACTGAGTACTGATTGTGAAAATGTTGACCAAGTCTGTTACCATTTAAGGCAGGCTTAGTAGCAAGCGGACCAGAAGAAGTTATACCTGATTGGCAGCTCCAGACCTTCACACTCTAGAAATGAAAAACAAGGCAGATATTTGAAATTCCAACAGTTCTATGTGATTCTCCTGCATTCACACAAGCCAGGGAAAAAGCAGTGATGTTATATGCAAACACCCACCCACACACCCCTCATGGTCCTGTAATGGAAGGCAGGATTACGCCTTGTTGTTTCACTTTACAAAGCCGTAATTAATCTACAAGATGATCAAAAGATGTTGGTTTTGGATGTGTCACTAATCTAATACTTGCTCAGCTCCTTTGTGTTCCACAGGATGAAGTGAACTCCAACAGGCCCTAGTTATCCCTCTCTAAAATAGGGACAGTATTGATCCTATTTAGCATAGGATTTTGGACAATAAATTACTGTCTAGTGTGAACTAAATATTGATAAGGAGGAGCTTGACAGAGACTGGTTCTTTATTCCTATCCTGAATCCTGAAATAATTTATGGAAAGTACGCACTACCCATTTTCTCACAGAAACAGAAAATATGATAAATAATTCGGCATAGTAGTAGTGATGGAGAAAAGGTAAAAAGATGTTTATTTACCATAGAAGGTCTCAGTCTCACTGAGTCATTAGAAACCTCTGAGCAAGATGCACCACTCCACTCCAGAGAGGCTCCGATATTTTTATTTCTGGCTGGGGGCTGAAAATCAGAAGCTGCCGGAGCAAATTCCCCTGGCGATCATGAAACACAAGAGACATCATTTCTCACCTTGGGCAGACAGAGGAGGCACTACTGGGTGCTAGAGTATTATACAACCCTAAGGAGACTCCCACTCACTGCTGGTTCCCACTTACCTGGTTCACCGGCCACAATAAAGGACTCTGGGGTTCGCTCGGGCAGAGGGGGGGGATCATCATCATCATCATCACCATCATCCGGCTGTGGCAAGGGGGCTGATTGAAGAGACATGGACAAATTACCTGCATGGCACCTAATCCAAAGCAGCATATGAAGTGAAATCCCAAATCATGCTGTCCTAAAGATATTTTTTATTTATATGGAGAGAGAGAAAAAAAAAAAAAAAGGCAGGATGAGACAAGGCGAGGCCTTTTTTCTTTCCTCAGCTCCTATCCCAACTGAAGCCCATTTAAGTTGTTCCGCAGCTGTGAAGGGTGCGATACCCTTGCACTCCTGAGCATCTACAGCCCTTCATGGATATCAAAACACAACACTCTCCAGCCTAGTGAAACCCAGGGTGAACCAGCCAGCTTGCACCACTCACCGAGCGAGGACATCCTCTTGTGGTTCCACGCTGGAGCGTGCTGGGACACAGGCCTGGCTGCTGGGGGGCTGGTCAAGGGGGGCTGTGCTGGGGCAGGCACAGCGCAAGTAGGAAAAGCTGCATCAGACGCCTCTGCAAAGCACTCAGTAAACAGTGGGGCTGTGAGATCATCTAAAGAAAGTGATGAGAAGTAAGGGTCTTCTGCTGAACAAGGGTAAGGATGGGAGCACTGCCTCCTGTTCTGCTGTCTTGAGGGGCAGTCCTCTGCTCTGCTTGAGTGGTTCGTCTCAACAAAGGAAAATCTATCCCGTTTCTTTACCTGAGAGCTTGAATAACAGGCTTTTGGCAACTGCGAACTCAAAACAGGCTTTATAGCCCCTCCATCCCATTTCTGGGCTTCGCTCTGCTGCGCGAGCACGAAAGGGGTAGATTTAGTCCGTGTCAGAGGCGCTCTGTCATGAGGCCATCTCCTGCCTACCCCCTCGGGTTTCAGGTTGAGCAGCAGCTGCTCAGAAGAGATGCTGTTGAACTCCACGCTATGGTGTTTCTGGAGAGCTTCCCCCGGGCCCCACTTTTCAGCAGCAACTGCCTTCCCACTGTTGCTGAAGTTCAAAGTCCCAAAGGAAATGGCTGGTCTAATGTGAGGGCCTCCATGCCCAAAGCTGTCGTGTAAACCTGCGGTAGACAACGATGTCACGGACGCTTCGCTTTGCGCTATAGGAGGATAACGTTGCTGTACATCCTGCTCCTCTTGCCCTGAGCTGCAATAAAGCACAATAGCATGAAGTCAAAGCCATCTAGTACTTAGGAATCTGTTTTGGTCACATCAATAAAAGACATAGGAATTATGTTAAGAGGGAATCTGACCAAATCAAAGTAGGACTCAAAGGAGTTTGCAGATCCTGCTCTCAACTGGACTGCAAATTAACTGAACTGCAAGATTCAAGCTGAATTGTCTCACGGAAAACACACACACCTACAGCAGAGTACGTAAGTGCATCTTTGTGGACTCACATGCTTAACTGGAAATACTAACCCACATGGTACTTGTGTAATGGCCTTACCAGTCTGGTAATCTCTGTGAATAAATTTCTTCCACTGGAGTCAGAAGTGGCTTTGCTGCAAGATGCTTGGTTTGCATCTGGTGAAGCAAAAAGATTTGAATACAAGACAGTGAAGAAAATGAATGCAAAGGACACAAACAAGCTATTTCAGGAGATAAAATTTGTGCCCACTTCTTTTCATTATTAATGTGGTTTGGAAATAACCAACACCAACGTGGAGCTGAAAGTGGAGGGCAGATCCTCTTGATCAGCTTCTCCTGTCAGTCCCTTTTTGAAATGACGGTACAAAGGGTCACACAACAATTCAACTGTTTTAAACACCTTAAAAAGGCCTGAGCAGACACCTCTGCCATTGCACCTCACAGGGCCACTCGTCCAGCCGTGTGAGGTTTCATTTACGACACTCCTGCACGTGACCATCCCCCCTGCTCTGCAAAGCGCTTTCAGAGGGCAGTGAGGTTTCCAGAGGTGAAAGATTTGGCCAGGAGCTATAGAACCACATCCGGACTTGATCAGTTCTCTGTATTTTCTGTCAAGCTAGTCCCTTGTCTTCTTTGCTTACAGACCATCCACAGCATATGAGCAAAAGATTCTTGCCAGCTATTTTCTCTCTCAGTTCTGTCTTGAAACAAGTACCATGTGACTACCATAGCAAGACTGAGGTGCACATCTCATTGCAGGATCCTGTTCCCAGCTCTCTAGGCAAAAGATTCATGCATACAAAGTACGCTGGCTGAAACTTCGCAGCCTTGGCCTAAGAGCAGCAATGCATTTATTTCAGCAAGATTGCAAACAAGTTCGCAGACAAGGTAAGATTAATGGCAATAATCAGAGAAGACAACAACAAAGAAAAGCCTAACCATGGATTGTTGATGTTCCTGTTTGCGCAAATTCGTACCAACAACACTTACTCTCCCAGTTACTAATAAATAGGACAAGGAGGGTAGAAAACAAGGCCCTTCCTACCAGGTCTGCAGAGAAGAGCTTTGCAGGAGGAATCTAGGTCAAAGCTGGCTTGCCTGAGACTGTAAAAGGCAGCCTGTTTATCTTGGGGACTTTTACCTGCGAAGCAGCAGAATATTCTTGGTCGTCAAATGCTTTAATCTGCCTTTTCAGGAGTTCAATCACAGCGTCATAAACCAGCTCATACTGCTCCTATATTCCGGACAAATTAAATAGTCATGAAAACCAATACAACTGTACTTGTAAGCGGTCATCAGTTACCCAAATCAAACAACATCAGCTCCTAAGAAAAGCCTTTACTTTCCAGTCTGTAGGTAGGACAAATTCTTGGAAGAGATGGAGGCCACAACTTTCAAAGCGTTGAGGCTGAAGCATTTGTTTTGGTGTTGGCAGCACAAACAACACGCTTCTTCACTGCATCTGCTCATCAGTCTGTCTCAACTGAGAGCAGTTCCCACTTTATTTTTTGTACAGTCACTTTTTTCACAGTGTAAGTATTCAATATATGCAACTCTAAACACTAAGCTATTCCAGCTGTCTACAAGGAAATGGTCAGCTACCAATTCATTTCTGCTAAATCATTCTTCTGCTCAGAAAAAGAACTTGTAAAAACGTTAACAAATCCAAGTTCTCAGCAGTGCAACAATTCTGTTTCACTCTTGCAAACCCTCCTGGAAAGAAGTTGAAGTTTCGATATTAAGAGTATACCAGTTGACGAAATTTCATGCATGTACCTTGGTTTGCACAATTGAAGGCCTTTGTGTGCGCATTTCCTGAATCAGACCGAAAATACTGAAGTTCACTGGAACAATCTTGCAAGCAAAGATAATAATAATACAGATGTAATTCCAAGCAGCTTCCAAGTCATAATGCAGTTTAGATCAGAGTCAGAAAGACTGACACTTACTCCATCCTTCAGTAGCTTTTGGGTGTAGTCAATAGCACAGATGACCCCTGTTCTCCCACACCCGGCACTGCAATGGAAGTCACAGCCAAATTGCTAGAAATGGTCATTTTGAAAACATGCACAGTCCCCTGAGAACTCTCCACCTTGTTGCAGACCAACAGTGCTGCTCCTGGTGGCAGCTTTACCTGATCTCACTGTACCCTTCTCCTCCACCTGAGGACAGCTCTGCCGCAGGGAAACCCATCTCATCCCCCTTTGAACAATTCTTCAGTCTTCCTGTGGGGACCAACCTATACATTCTTGGTCTCTTAACTATATAATCCTTGGTCTATCTATTTTTTTTTCCTGCTATCCAGCCATACTAGTTGCTCAAAGGACATTTTTGTCCTTAGAACTTTCTGAGAGGAATTTGGCTCAAATCTTGTAAGGGAACAGATGTATGGCAAAGGACCCTGACCATCCACCTGTACGGACTCTCATAAAGCAAGCAAGAAAGAAACAAGGGTGGAGCCAACAGCTCTTTCATGTCAGTGCATGAAACACCCACCTGCAGTGGATGCACAGAGGAACGTTGTCATCGGGCTGGTAGCAACGAACCTCACAGACGAGCTCCAAAATGGGATCAATGGAAGAGGGAACATCATGGTCTGGCCAGTTTGTATAGTGGAAATGATAGATGGTGCGGATTTCCTACAAAAGAATAGGAAGAGTACCCCTTCTTTTAATATGTTATTTATATAATAAAACTAGCCAAGTCACATGTCCTGCTTTGACCTTTCCTACTTACTTCATTCAGGGCCACCTTTAAAGTCCGAATCACATATTCATTTTTCTTGTCTTCAGCTTCCTGCAGAGCAGTAAGTTAGTCACATTTTATTCAGATGGCATTAGTTTCCAATGCACACGATGTGACACGGCATTACGAGGCAGATATACTCACACAGGTGATGGAGAAAGGGCCGCACTGCAGGGAACAGCCACCCTCCTCTGCCCAGTACCGCTCACATTTTTTCTGTTGCAAGCAGCAGGAAGTCTGTGGTTATTCATCTCTTATCATCTCCTGCTTTACCCTGCCTGACAAAACTCATGCTAACAACCTGCTTTTTGCTGCTGACCAGTCTCTAGTCTCCCCCTTCCGCAGAGTCACCAGGGCAGGAATTAGACCTGTGACAATTTCATGTGCAGATTTTCTGTGCTCATTCCTGACCGCCAGAACCATAGCTCTGTGCACAGTGACACAAACGGGTTTTGTGGGAGGAGAGGAGAAGGATGTAGGAGTGTTTGGATCTCACTTGTCTTTGAATCTTTTCCCCCCTCAAAGAGTCTAGTTACACTCTCGAGGTAGTTTAGGAACCTGCAGCGTGGTAAATCCAGCAGGCAAGGATTAGTGCGTATCAAAGAGAAACCTGGTGTCCTTAGTGAGGTTTCACAGAAATCGATATCCCTTCTCCCTGTCCTGATGGCAGAGGTCACCTTTGATACGTAACTCACCTTTCCCATTTCAAACTCCATACAAGCCATGACCACAATCTGGAGAAAAAAAGTTTGTCAGAAAAATCTGGACAAAAGTTTCCTAATGTCCACCCGCACCATGGCATTGCCACTGCCCAGTGCATCACAGAGGAAATGGGGTGTCTTTATACATAGCCTTAAAGAAATATGTGTGTATATGTAAATATATATATATATATATATATATATAAAAATGTGCACCTTACCAGGACTTCATACTCCCAAATCATCCTCCAGAAGTCAATGACAGTAGTGGAGAGAGGACCCTGGGTTGCAATATACGCTCTTGGCCCATAGACACCCTAAAATGGCATTCAGATTAGATAATATTTGCATAATTCACTACAAGAAATATTGTCCCTCCTGCTGAATCCTACTTCTATCCAATTAAAAAAGCCCATTAAAGACTTAGAAAGGCTTTTATCCAATCAAATTTTAGGCACCTAAATGAAATTAACTAACTTGTGAGATGTCCTCAAAGGTTGGCTTGTGGACATTGGGTGCCCTTGGCTCCCTCGAAGCCAGGGAGATGGGCTTGAGGTGAGATCTACTTTCAAAGACCATTGTTTCTGTGGGTGCCTTTGTGGGAACCTGGAGGCGAACGTCCCAAAGTGGGGTCCAACCCTAGCACGCCCGTGACCGCTGCCTGAAGAGAGAACCCCACTCCGTTCAGGAAGGTCTGCGGTGCTGCTGCGGGCCACGCAGAGCCCTCGCTCCCGACGGCACAGACAGATGCCTGTCTGCACCTGGGCAGAGCGGTCCTGAGCCCAGGGCAGACTGGAGGCGCACGCAGCCCCTCTGAGGAAGCTGCCCGGTGCTCTCTGCTGCTGCGCAAACTTCCTCCCCGCGCCCCATCCCGCTATGAGGATGTCAGGGCTGTGAGCCACAAACTGCTGCGCCAAGCAGCACACATCTCCTCCCTAGAGCTTGCTGCCTCTGGGCTGCAAGGAGCATTTCACACAGAATCACCGATTATACACGTCCTACACATGTATGGACATTGTTCAGATCAAGGCACTATTCCTGACATACTCCCAATTCTGAATTATCCTGGTACACAGCACAGAAGCTAAGTTCTGGTTCTCTCTGCTTAGCACCAGGACCCAGCTCCACGAGGCAACACGTAGCTACTACGGACAGCTCTCAGCTGCAAAACACCATGAAGCAAGGCAATACCTTGATGAAGTTGGCATTGATGTAATGAGAATCTGCATCGGATGTGATCAGAGACAGCTCCACTCTGCTGTGGTCAACTGCAGGCACAAGAGAAGAGAAGAAACAGCAAGGACATTACTGCTTGTGTGCTGGGGTAGCTCTGTGGGGCTCCCCAGGATGCAGCCTGAGGTGCTTTGGAGGAGCCCTTAATCCAAGAGCTCTTCCTCAGAGCAGACAAGAAATCTCTAGATTCTCTTTCACTCTCAAGAAAATCTGTGCCAAAATCTTGCAGAACATATTGTAATAGAGACAAAGATGAAGCCTTAAATCTGAGCAACAGAATTCGAGGCAGTTGACAGGCAGTGATGCTCTCATATGCAAGTGATCATGCAGGCAGATACTCAACGAAGGGCAGAATTGGGCTAGCAAAAAAAAAAAAAAAAAAAAAAAAAAAAGGAAGAATGAATAGGAAAAATTGCTGTTTCCAACCTACAGGGTAATATGTCCTTGTATCTGTTTTTCTTGATGTTTTCTGGTTGCTCAGAGGCCGCTGTAGGGTAGGTTTTATCCAATCTGTACTTTGTTGACTGCTTTTTCAGCTTCTGTGATGAAAGAATGGAATAAATTAGAACAAATGTGCTACAGACAACATGCTACTAGAGAGCTCGCGCGCAGTTCTCTGGGGTCAGGCTCATCACCACAAAGCCAGGTCTGCACGTATAACCCTTCCTGAAGGACTTCTCTCAAGGTTCTCACAGCAAGAACAGAGACACAAAAGTCACCTGAGAGACTCAGCAAAGCTGAAGAATGGAAAGTGTGGGACAGTGGTCACGAGGGGCTCAGGCACGCATGCATCCACAGCGAAACGATGCCTTTACACAGAACACAGGGCAACCCTCACAAATAGGGAGATGAGGGACACTCACTCCAGGTATAAACTAACGATATTAAAACACCTCTAACAACTGTCATCAGAAAAGATGGATAAAGCAATTGATTTCTCTCACTTTGGCAAAGATGCTCGCATTCCTAACTGCAAAAGTAATGGTCAAAAAGCCCTGCAGGACAAGAAATCGGAGCAAAGTTGTTACATACATCAATAAAACAGAGAGAAAAAGAAGCCCTAGAATACACAGTTGAGAGGCATGAATCTCCAGTCTTTCAGTCTCTCTCACTTCCAGGCTAAAGCTCTTGCAGTTCTAGAGAACTTGTGTGCATTTTTCCTCAAAAAAGAAGCTTAGAATTCTATTTCATTGTCCTCAGCAATGGTTTTGATTTCAAACAAAAAGCCATTTCTCTAATAGTGTCCCTGTGGTTTGACACTTTGAAGAGCAAGTCTCACTTTCTCACCCCGCCGAAGCCGTGCTTCCACAGACCGCCTGCTGGGCTTTACTGCCAGGCTTCAGGGAATTGGGCTCAAAAGGGGAAAACAGAAATGTCTGGGGTGCAAAAAGCAGAGAGCAGAGGCAAGGGCTCACCTGAGGCACGAGGTTCTCGTGCCTTGCCTGCGCTCCCGTTAGCAGCGAGCAGGAAGTGGAAATAATGGCTCAGTAGCTCATACAGCAAAGGAAAAAGAGAGTCTGCTGGTCCCGGGGTCAGCTCACCGAAATAGCAGGGTGGTCAAAGGTGCTGAGAGCAGAAGGGGTGGCATTTCCTTCCTGCAGGTATGGACAAACTCCAGCGCGTTTGGCCGTGTGGAGCTGCGAGCTCTGACACGACAGTGTGTGAACTCGTGTCCCATGAGGGCCTCGTCCCTTCAGAGCCTCGTTCGTGAGCTCTCAACGTGCATCGCTTCGAGGGTGAGTTTGCAGAACAGACCCCAACCCCGCTGCAAGGGTCGTTTTCCTGCCAGGCTGGAGAATTGTGGCCCTTGTCCTTAGGCGCTTAAGGGGTGATATTCCAGCAGCTGCAGGAGAGCAGCAAAATCCCTTGACTGCAGCCTGCTTTGGACCAGCACCCTTGGGAACATGACCCTGTTCAGGGCTCGTATGCATAGAATTTCTGTTTATGGAAATTCAGATTCAAATCAGAGTTCTTGTTTTTTAACACTAAGCTGCAGCTTTTTAAACCCTAAATTCTGATGCTTCCCAGACAAAATACTGCAAGGGCAGCATTTCACTGAGCTGGAGGGAATGAGTCAGGGAGAGGGTGCGGGAGGCACAGGACGGTCCATGTGTCCTGTCTCCATTAATCAAGAACCTGAGAACACTACAGTGAGACAGCACTTGTGGAAACAGGTGAGCAGCAGCATGTTTTCATAGACAACGCATCCATGCCATGCCATCCATGACAACACATCACATCCCTCCTGCCTCCTTCCAATGCAAAATCCACTTCCAGAGTGAGCTTTCAGGCACGGGGTTTGACTCAGCATGAGACCGGCCTTCTCAAAGCAAAGGCTCTGAATCACCTTACTTACTTACTTACTTCCCTGTCCCTGCAGAATCCGACAAAGAGCTTGTCCTGGGAAATGGCTACATGGGAAAAAGCAGGTGAAAGCAGCAAGAATCAAACTCTGGCTGTGAGATGCACAAAAAGTAAAGAGAGACTTAACTGAAAAAAAAACAAAAAAAACCCAAAAACCCTGTCATTTACAGCAGCAGCAGAGTTTACACGTACAAATACTTGTTCACATAAAAAAAAAGTAGGACGGAGAATAAAACTGTACATTTCTGCCAAGTTTGGAAATGTGGGCTGTCACAGTTGTCTCTCAAGGTTTCAGCACTTGCAAAAATAGCAGGAAACTCTGGCAGCCTCTGGGAAAACCTCTTCCCAGCACAAGAGGAAATAGAGCCCTGACCACTTCTACCCACTGTCGTTGCTAGAACATTATCTGTACGCTCGGCTCTGCAGCTACTGTGTGCACCTAGACTGTGCAGCCCTGCAGCCTCCCACTGCGCAGCACAGCCCCAGCACGGCAGCGAGACGGGGAAATTCAGCAGCCCGTGACAGTGCTTTGTTCCATGGAACAACAGGACTGCTAATGCAGGCTCGCATTAATCACTTCCCTCTGACCCAGACACCTCAGAATCAAGCACTAAACTTTTCCCAGTCTTTTGCAATGCAAGTCTTCACTGGCAGGACAAAGCAAGGTCTGGATAGCATGGAGACTCCTAAATAATCCTGAACCGCCTGCCTCCAGCTTCAGAGAACCAAAACACATCTCTAATACCGTTAGAGCTGCCGGCTGTAACTGCAGCCTGTGGGTTGCAGCCCAATTCCCATCCAGGCCACCCAAACAAGTGCGGAGCCGGGAGGGCGCTGCCAGACCGGAGCACTACACGGCTCCCAGCAGCGAGGCAGCGCAGAGCGCAGGTGGAGACACCGGCGAGGACACAGAGCTGCCCAGACCACAGGCATTGATCTGAATAGCTGCCCCTTACTCTGCGGGGTGTGTGTTTTGTGCGGCTTTCCAGAGAAATAACAACAACAAAGAGATCTCCCAAGTGGTGACTAGAGATTCCCGACAGAAACAGATATACCAGAAATACAACAGACTTCAACGGGAAGGTGAGGCAGGGGCACTGTGCTCCTCGCTGCACCCTCACTTGTGCTACCAGCGCAAAGTGAAACCGTATCTTGACAAGTGCATTCACAAAGGAGGAAACAGGAAGCATTCTGAAAATTATTTTAAAAGCATTTTTACTTTCAATACAAAGTATTAAGCTGCTCTTCTGCATTTACATCCTTTTTCTTCTAGTTAACTCCTATATCTCCTTCTGCTCTAAAATTTATAAAGAAATCTCACTGTCACATGCAAATCTCGTCCCCGTTCGGGGAGACGTGACTGAGAGGTTCCCTTTAAAATGAACTGAGACACAGAGATGTGCCTTGAGCAAACTTACCAAAAACTCGTCTACAAATGCTTCTTGGTCGAGCTTCTTGCTTTGGGCCCTTTCCAGGTTTTGCAGCAGAATCTCCCTTTGCTCCATTTTGCAAGAGACAGAGCGAGCCTGGTCTGGCAAACCTGGGAACGGACATGTCAAATGTGTGTCACAGCGGAAAGCACCAGCCTGGAGAGCACTTGCTTCAGCCTGTGGTTTACTGACTTCATCACAAGTCTAAAAGGAAATTAGTGCGTAACACATACCATGGTCAAATTAAAAAACAAAACACAATCTGGGGCCCTAGCGCCTCCTTTTTAAACCGCATGCGATTCATTTCTACCCCCAGAGAGAGTAAGCAGCACTAAGCCGGGCTCTTCAGCCTCTTCTGCCACCCAGCTTTCATCCTACTCCTTTCACTAGCAAACCTCACTCGCGGTTCAGAGCCATACACTGCAGACACGACACGTCTGCCAGAGCCTTCGACTCCACACTCCCTGTTGGGAGAAAAAGACATAGAAACAGGCAAAAAGGTTAAGGGCATGGTGCCCTTTTAAAAGGTTAAAACAGGCTAGACAAGGGAAGCAGGAATACTGAGTTCTATGCCCATGATCACAGCTACAGTGAGAGTCCTTCAGTGCCGGCTGTACAAGCCTGACAGGCACTAGCTGGACAGAAATGTGATGCTACTTCAGCAACAGAAAACATGGGCTTATATCTGCAGAAGCTTCTAAATTACAAAATTGGGGAAGATTCTCCTGGAAAGCATGACCAAGTGAAAATAAAAAGTGTGCTCTAATTTTAGCACCATTTCCAGTCATCATTAGCAGCTTGGCATTGCCTGTCAGGGAATATCTGCACACACCAGGTCACAGGAGACTGCACTGCACTGCAAAGTAGCCAGAATAGAGGGTTTCAAACCCAAGAGGATCTTGTGACTAGAAGAGTCCCTAAAACAGTATGCAAAATCCAAAATGTGAAGTTCCCCTTCACATTTGTAACTTTGTGTATTTTCCACATTAACAAATCATTAAAGAACTCTTAAGACAGATGTTGAACATGTGAATCCACTCTGTACATTTTATTTCTCTGAATAGCACAACAGTTTCCAAACAAAGAAGTATTTCCCATTAGCATACTTCAGGTCAATTCTTCATCAATTGTTCTAATTAACCAAGCCAAAAACTCAGCTTCCTCTTTTGTAGGGTAGCCCTCTCCCTTTCAATTGTCCAAGTTCTCCTGGTGAGGAAAAAAAAAAGGCATATGTACATATGTATTTATTTTAGAGAAAGAATTCAAGAATTCAAAGAATTCTTCCCAGACTTATATCAGCTTTCCCCTCATTAAATGTATTAAGTGGTACACTAAGTAAAAATTTACAGTGACACAACTGTAAAGCTATGCATGCAGAAAAGCGCTTTTTGTATGACTGATCCTTAATTATTTTGATTGTCACGAGTATGTAACGAGTTTAACTCAATATTGTGGTAAGGAATTAAATCCTGACACCATGAAATAGATGAGAAATTTGATGTTGACCTGATTAGTACTTATGAAGACATTAAGATCAATGCATTTAGCAAAGCCGTGTTTTCTCAACTATAAGCAGAGTTAGATGATATACAGTGGGAGAGGATAGGATGCCAGTTGGGCATCAGTGGCTAGCAAAGCAAGGCAGAAGGGAGAAGGGCATTTGGAAGGCCAAGAGAAGCAATGAAACAGAGCCAAAAATTCTAAGGCAAACATAACAGCAAATTTTGTATGCTCACCCATCCTCCAGAGGACTCAATGTAGCTTCTCACTTGGGAATTTCCATTAATCAATTCCACGAGCTGAATGCGATGGAGCATAGTTGGGACTTTCTTTGCAATACACATTGCCAATTTCACAGAAATGGCAAGAAAAGCTCTCTCATAGCAGAACTCAGGATTATGGATACTCCAGCTCCTGCTAAGGGAATCCACTGCAGCCCCAAACTTCTCTACCTGCAAATACCAAAAGGATGGTTTGAGTTTTCTCTTTTTAAATGACCACGTGGTATGAAAGTTTTACCTTAAAATCTGACAAACACCTTCTTGTTCTACCCATGAACAAAGTGGGTGACACCCTGAGAGTTCCTGGTGATACCCCTGCAACGTAGGGCATTCTAGGCAGGGCTCTCCTGTGCAGCTCTCCATATTATTGTGGCGTGTACAGACAACAGGCAAGCATGGTGAGGGACCAGGAAGGAGAGCTGATAGTCTAAGCAGAGTTGCAAAGAGCCTTAGCTTAGAACCACGTGCAGCACTTGTCCCAAAACGGCACTTGCACTGGCCCAGACTGGGGCATCCGGTCTCCTCCCCTCTTCCTTCATATCTCTTGTGCACACAAGCTCTCTTCAACTCCGAACTATAAATTGTCTCCTACAATGACAGATCAGCTCAGGAAGTTCCAGGACTTCTCAGATGACAAAAAGCAGCTCCTCTGGAAGGGAACAAGCAGAGAAGTCACGAGGAATCACCCACCCATGTAAGCGGGTCCTACAGGGCTTTGTTTAGAGTCTATTCTGTCATCTTATGCACTGCCCCTCACACAGGAAGAAAGGCAGGAAGGCTTCTGGATATCACATTCCTTTCCTCAAACACCTCCTGCTCCCACAGCATAAGCTGTGCTCTTCCCTAGGCATTTGCTATTCTCCAACAAAACGAGAGCAAAGACTAATCTACAAAGAGCAGGTCCAGGGCTAGTCAAAGAGATGTGCATTACCTTTCCCTTGAGCACTTCAGCAACAACAGGTGAGGAATTTTCAAAATCTATGTTACACTGGTCCCCTATGCTTCGCAAACGACTGGCAATAACAACTGGGTCAAAATTACTTGCAGTTTCCTCTGCAGACTGCTCAGATCCTAAAACAATGAACAGAAGCAACAAGATACGGGATTATTGCATAATACATGAAAAAGCAGAGGAAAAGAAAGAATATAAACTTGCAGCTAACAAGGTTGGCAACTTCAGATGCCACGTCCCGGTCCAGCCGCTCCTCTGCATGTCTGGTTGACATGCCTGTACTTCAGCACTAGGAGCCCTTTGCAGGGGCCTCTCTACACCAGGGATTGCAGAAGGATTCCCTGAGCTGCAGGCACTTCACTAAGTGGAGCCTTCACAGGCAAACAGGCTCTTTCCCGTGTGGTCGAGACAGCTAAAGCAGATGTAGCCACATCTAATCCGTACTACAGAAACAAGGAATAAGCTGACTTTTCTTCAGGGAAAGCTATATGCACGCTTCCATAAACCTTTTGAGAAATCTAAACCCGTAACAGGCTTGTGTTTGCATATCTCTAAATCATTTTTCCACCACGGGAAGGCAGCCTTCCAGCACCCCAGCTCTCAGCAACACAGAACTATATAACACCTTACACAGTACGTGTGGACATATGCAAAGTACAGCAGCAGAGAGCTGCTGGGTACCTTGCTGGGTACCAAGTGCAATCACAAGACACGGAGAACACAATTTGTAGTCTTCCCTCCAGAGCCTTCCCGTTTCCTCAAGCCCTCTCCTACCAAAGCAGACTGCAGCTTGGTCTTTCCAGGATTCAAACAATTAAGTTGTTCTCTCTTCCCCCCAAAACAGATATAACTCGTAAGTCATCACAATGTGCATTTTAAGAAATGCAACCCCAAGCTGCAATCCTCCTTCCTTTAAATTTTCAGAACTCCTTTCTATGATCTTCAGCAAACACGAAAACTTTTCTCTCATTTCCTACCAAACTGCATCCTTACCTCCTGAATCTTTCTCCAAACATCGGTAATCAACTTCCTCTTCATTTAGGAGATCAGAGAACAAGGCTTCTACAACATATTCTGTCTGTTTCTCAAAAGTGCTCATTGCAGTAGATGGCTCCCACTAGCTGATATTCAAAAGAGTCAAAAATACACCTGCAGCTGCTTTCCTTTCCAGGTGAGTGGCACCTCAGAACGACAGTTTCCTTTTCACACCAGAGGTCCTTCCTTCTGGGAAAGGCAGATCAGCAAGACTCCTCCCCAAAGAGGACTATTTCAGATATACTCTTACTGTCCCCACCAAGCGATGGGCGTGGTTTCATTTCACAACCAGCTGTACAGCTCAGACAAAACGCACATTTAGAAGAAGACGAAGACGGCTGGCGTGGTCATTCACCTAGAAACAGGTCCCTGGACAGCAGGCTAAGAAATAAGTCACATCCTAGTCAGGGCTTACAATTAGTGTAGCTACAATTGAGTACATGTAGAATTGCTGACAAGCTAACTATTTATTTTTTTCTGAAAACTGCCTAATACGACGTATGTCGTATACGTATGACGTATGTTGTATTATGTGCTCCATAAGCACAAGAACCCAGCACAGGCTTAACAGCACTAGGGACTGTTCACAGAAACCCTGTCACAGTGAAATACACTTGAATTCACCTGCAGTTAGCATGCTTAACATTGCAATTTAGTTGTATATAACTGCAATATGAGACTGAAATAAAAGAGTTAATGAAAAAATCTTCCATAAAGCAGCTGAGACAGATTCATATTTGTAAGGAAAACCAGAAATCTAAAATTTGATGCAACTGTAGCATTCCTGTGAAGTGTCTGGAAAGCATACAGTAGTATAAAAGTGCAATATAGAATCATACAAAAAAAATAAATTTTACAGAACAGGTTTAACAAAGCCAGTTCCTCACACTGTATTGTAAAGCCATTACAGTAGCCGGTACACTTGAATCTTAAACCAGGGAGCATTCTTTAGGGTTTTGAGGTTCAATAAACTCGGACTTTGCATCTGTATTTGTACTTTGTATCCATAATGGATTTGTATCTGCAGAGGTGGATTAGGAATGACATTTCCTGTCTTGACCAAAACTACTCAAGCCCCAAAAGCAAAGGTTTCACCATGAGAAAGGGTTCTCATGGCTGTAGCAAGGAACTTTTCACAACACTACGAAGTCCAAATCTCTCTAATTTTCAAAGCAGAAGTGCTGTCCTTGTGATACCAGTCCTGAGGTTCACAGAGTATTTTTCAATTTCTTCCTACGTGAGGAACCCAGGTTCCTGAATAGATTAAGGAATCCTTAAGTGAAAAAAAAATTCCCTTCCTCCCAGGTAGCATTTCCCAATTATTCTTTTATTTGAATAAAGGAAACATGAATCTAAGTAATATCATTTTTGGCACAATGACAGCAGCTAATTAAAGTAGTCAAGCTATAATATTTTATTCACAAAGAACACGTCCAGAAGCTTGCCAACAGAAAATGAGAAAGGAAGCAAGTCCCTTCTACAGACATTGGTAAATCATCAGCCAGCTTCCCAGTCCACACTAGTGCCTTGTGACAAGCACTGGAGATGCCACCACTTTTATGACATGCTAGAAGCAGCAGGCTAACAAATGCATTGTCTTGTCCTTTCACCAGCCCATAAGAATTTCATTTAATCAATGACCACTTAAGAGTAATGCAATATCTACCAGCTCACCTCATGCTTGTGGTTGCTACATATGACGGTCCCCACTGCCCGGGAGGGAAGGGCTGCTAAGGCTCCTACAGTTTATAAGTTCAAAGTCAGCAACAGTTTATGGCAAATGAAGCCACAGGATAAGGAAAAAAAAAATAAAAACAGTTTCCTGTGATCTCAGTAAGCATCCTACTGGGAGCAGGGGTCAATCAGGATTTCAGGCCAGCAACTGTCCCCATTACAGTCTCTAAAACAGAAATAAAGGCTTTCAGTGCCTCAGGCTTTGCCTCACTCTGCTTCACGGAAACCTGCATCTCTGAATCCTCTGTCTCCAGCAATAGTTCTGTTAGGAAGAGGCAACCAGTGTCATCCTGAGCACTGAGATAAGCTTTCCATGGCCGGACCCCAGCTTTGCTCATAGCAATAGTCTGGATATGGACCACATGAAGAGCAGTCTGTATGGTATCCGAGTGAGCCGCTCCACGCCAGGGCAGAGAGTGCTGGCAGCTAATGTCCAGGTTCAGCCAGGTCTTCTCAAACTCTTCTGCAGTCAGATACGTGTCAGGAACTAAGGCCAGGCTGCCTGTATCAGGATGAACCTGGAGGACTTCTTTATTCCCTTCAGAAATTAGCGACTCTGAAATGAAATCAGAAACGTGAGACACATCATCATCATCTGATGCTGCTCCCTATTTCACAAAAAACATCTAACAGGATCACCAAATGATTAAGTCTAGGATCATGACATCTTCAGCAGCATCTCCCTAAAGAGATGATGATCAGCCAGGCACTGCACAAGAAAGAACACTAAAGCAACACTCTCCAACCACTGTGACCTTTCTCCAAACGATCCAAGATGAGGACAAGGCTGCTTACCTGCCCTGTCCTTGGGGTCAGTAAAAGGAGAACAAGCATAAGAGGATTCCACTGGCTGCTGAGCAGTGACAAGTGCCCAGGATGCTCTGCCATAAACACATGCCAGGGTGTTAAACTCTGAGGCCCACGTATTCACTGGCCGTTCAGCTGGATCTTCTAGGAGCCCCAGAGAGGGGTCAGACTTGGGGCCGCAGAGGATCCTTTTCACTTCCTCCACACCAGATTGCAAGAGGCGATAGTAGAACAATCCACGGTCACGTACAGCCATGTCTATCTCTTCCTCTGGAAATCAGAGGGATACATATTCACATAACTGCATCATCCTGATTCCCCCTAAATAATAACCTTTAATTATTAAAAATAGACAGATTCCCCAGGGTACAATTTAGGCCTGTTACACTCACCAACCAGGCAGCTTGGGACTAAGTTGCAGCCTAAGGCATAAAGCCACCTTACTTTGCTTCCCTGGATGGTCTCCTCTTAGATACAGGCAGTGCCCAACACGCGGCATCAATGCACAGGGTTCACAGAAAAACAAGGTGCCCAAAAGCCAGTACTATCACTTCAGAGAAATAGAACATTCGGCAAAGTGAACTCACCTATACAATAATGAAGTAGTCGTCCTAGCATGTCCTGACACTCAGCAGGACGAGACAGGAAAAGCCGCACTAACGCTGTCAGAAGCTCCATCTTCACTGCTGGAGACATCTCTGATTTCACATTCTCCACAAAGTCCTCTAAAACATAGGGAGCATTTTGTACTTTCTCACCATGTGCCCCCAAGAGCCAAATCAATGCTTGTTTGCCCTGAAGGAAACAAAAAGCAAATAGTAAATTGTCTCTGCTTATCAGAAAGGGTTAACACGAAATCAACTGACACAAGAGGACAAGTCTTCTGAGGATTTCTTCCTCAGGCCAATCACGAGTCAAAGCAAAGCAAGGCAGATTCCATCCATCCTCAAAGCTGTTACCTTAAGGGCATAAAGCCACCTTACCTCGCTGTCCTGGATGGTCTCCTCACAGCCCGGCAGTGCCCGACACACTGCATCTGTGCACTGGGGACACAGCCAAACCAGGTCCCGAAAAGTCTGCACTACCGCTGCAAAGAAACACACCACTCAGCATCCCCCAAGGACCCTAAAAGCCCAGTGCCTTCTGGAACCTCAATTTCTGGGACCACAATCCTCAACAAGGCAATTTCTTGAAAGCACAAACCAAGCCAACAGCCTGCAGATGATTACCTGAGGTTATATGCTCCTGTTGAAGCCCCAAAAGCTCTGTCAAAATCGCCACACACTGCTCCATGTATGTCCTTGCAATATTGCCTGCAGGAATACCAAAGGACATAAAAAGCAACCTTTCATCACGATAAAATCCCTGAACCTAATTGTTTATCACAAGCTCATTTAAAAAAAACAGTCATTCTATCCTAAAAAGGCAGTCAGATGACCTAGCTACTCACAGAAGGGACATGGTGCTTTTTCTGCAGCCATATCTACATATACCATTATACTATTTACAGTCATTTACTTCAACAGAAGAAGGCACACCTTAAAGACTGAAGGTTGCAGCTGCTTTGGAGGGAAGGCAGAGCTCTTACCTATGGCAAAGATGGCCCTTTGGGCAAGCTCTACTGACACATCAGTGCAATAGTCCTTCAGCTCCTCCAGCACTTGCTGCACATTTTCATCATTCACCAGCTCACACAGTATTTCCATCTTCTGGCATTTGATGTAGTGAGGCTCTGAATATGAGCAGAAGAACTTCTTGTAATGGCTGCTAAAGTGGCCAGGGAGGCTACCAAGGATCTGGCGCACGTGACACAGAGCTGTAAAGCAGAGCTCCCTGCTCTCAGAGGTGCAGGCAGACAGCAGTGGTCCTTTCACTCTCACCAGAACATCTGCCTGCACATGTGGGTACTCCTTGGCCAGCACGAGGAAAAGCTTGGTGGCTGCCATCACAACACTGATGCTGCTGTTTTTGAGATATCCATCTAGCAAATTGAGTATGTCAAAGAGTTCCTCCTCACTGCGGGGCTTGTAGCGCAGAAGGAAGGCAAGTACCTCACTCTGTCCCCATTGATCCAGATCAGGCATTCTGCCAAGAAAAAAACACGGTTTCCATGAGTCAAGAAGTGCACAAAGATCTGTGATGTGCAGAGTAGTCTTTGAGTTTGTTATCATCTCATTTATAACCCAATGCTATGTTTTAGATGTAGATGCTACAATTTTATCTCAAGAAAATTGATCAGTTTACACATACAGGCACATCAGTCACATGCACCTCCCTCTGTGCTCTAAGTCAGAGAGAAATCTTGACAAGATCCCTGAGCAGAACACACCAGCAGCTGAGCCAGTCTTCCCAGAAAAGCAGGGTATCTGAGATTTCTCTTAAGACTTTAGCATAAAAGTAGTCTAGTTTCTCTTAGGATGAGCATCCTCATCTTGGATGCCTGACTCTTCAACCTCTGAATGGTTCATTCACTGAGCAGCCCAAAAGAACTGCTCTGCTAATGCATGAAATACAAGGATTAGAATTATGCTTCCAGCACCAAACTAATCTTGAAGAAAACAAACCTGTTGAGGAGATGGTGGGCAATGGGCTTGTTGATGACAACTCCTCCCTCTTTCTTCAAAATCTCTTCTAAAGCTCTCAGACAATTCACTACTACAATAGGATCCTGGTCACGAAGCAAACTATATAGCTCATTCACCAATGCACCATCTGCAAAGAAAGGGGCCCCTATATCAAATTCTGTTGATATGTTCCAATTTAATCACTATCCATTGAATAAGGAGAACTGGTCAAAAGACCTTGCAGCTTTATAATACCTGCCTTTCATGGAATTTTGCATTAAAAAATGTGTACGTGCTAGAATGACAATCAGCTAATCAGACACTAGAGGAGAGGGCCAGATAATAGAGGCAGCAGCATAAAAGCTCATGTGAAATGTAGACACTTGCAGTGCCCGACATCTCACTGATGACCTGACACACATGAGCAGAGAACTTTGCTCCTTCCCTCTGTCTCACCCCCACAGCAACCATGGGACAGCTCAGTGAACCCAGGACAGATTACAGATCTTTACACGTTTTTGTGAGCAATACCTGAGTGTCGAACATTACCAAGTTCTCCCCAGGGTGCACCCTGTGGCAAAACACAAATCTGAGCGCTGTATGTGAGGCCAGCTCACCCACTTCTGCGTCCCCTTGCAGCTTCTGCATCTTCGCACAGCCCAGGACCGCCGCTCTCCTCACGTAGGAGGCCTTGTCTCGCAAGCCGTTCAGGACGGGCTGCTGGATGTACTCCTGGATCCCGGGCATCCTGCAAAGGGGCGCACGGGTGTCACGGCCAAGGCCTGGCGCGCTGAAGGAGCCGAGCCCGCCTGCCCGCAGCGCCCACCTGAGGCTGCACATGCTGCGTAGGGCCAGCCCGCGCACCATGGGGTTGGGGTCCGCGCAGTCCTTGCGCAGCGAGTTGATGGCGAGCAGCGCCAGGTGCGGCTGCCGCGGCGCGTAGCTGCACATGTACAGGTACACGAGCTTCTTCTGCAGCACGTCGGCCGCCGCGCTCGCCTTCACCATCTCCGTGAAGAGCCCCGACACGTCCGTGCCCTGCGTCATGAGCCTGCGGGGACAGCGCCGGGCTGGCACCGCGCGCCTCGCGGCACGGGCGGGCACGGGCGCCGCGACAGGGCGCTACACGGCCGGGGCGGCCCGGTACACGGCACGGGCAGCACGCGGGCCGGCACATGGCATGGGCAGACACGGCACAGGTACCATGCGGCCCGGCACACGGCAGCAGGGGCCGTGCCGCGCAGGGCAGCGCCCGCCCCGCCCCGCCCCGCCCCGCCGTGCCGTGCCGTACCGGATGACGCGCTGGACGACGCCGCGGTAGCGCAGCCGGTCCGCCTGCACGTGCGGGTTGGCCAGGGCCCGGCGCAGGTCGCGCAGCGCCTCCTCGCCGCCCAGGTACGGCATGGCCGCGGCGCGAGGACGGCGCCGAGGAGCAGCACCCCGGAACCGCCCCCGGTACCGGCCCCGCCGCCAGTGCCGCGCGCAGGCGCCGCCTGGCCCCGCCCCTGGCCCCGCCCCCCGCGCCGGCCGCGCCTGCGCGGCGCCGCCCGCCAAATCGGGCGGGAATCGGCGGCGCGGGAGCGGCGGGTGTGCCGCCATGAACGGCACCGTGATCCCCGGCACGCCAATCGCCGTGGACTTCTGGAGCGTGCGGCGCGCGGGCGGCGCTCGCCTCTTCTTCCTCTCGCACCTGCACGCGGACCACACGGTGGGGCTGTCGAGCACGTGGAGCCGGCCCGTGTTCTGCTCGCCGCTCACCGCGCGCCTCCTGCGCCGCCGCCTCCAGGTAGGTGCCGGCCCCGGCCCCGGCCCCGCCGCGCTGGCCCCCGGCCTCGCTGACCGCCGCGCCCGCAGGTGCCCGCGCGCTGGATCCGGCCGCTGGAGGTGGGGCAGAGCCACGTGCTGGGTGACGGCGACACCGTGACCGTGACGCTGCTCGACTCCAACCACTGCCCCGGCTCCGTCATGTTCCTCTTCGAGGGCGCCTTCGGCACCATTCTCTACACAGGTACGGGGTACGGGCCGGGCGCTGTGGGCGGCACCGCCGCCATTGCCGCGCCCTCACGACCGCTCCTCACAGGCGACTTCCGCTACAGCCGCGCCATGCGGCAGGAGCCGGCGCTGCGCGGTCGCCGCCTCGACCGCCTCTACCTGGACACCACGCACTGCGAGCCGGGCCGCCGCCTGCCCTCGCGCTGCCGCGCCGCCCGCCAGGCCGCGCGCCTCATCCGCGACCACCCGCGGCACCACGTCGTCGTGGGTGAGCCCCGCGCGCGCCCTGTGCCCGCCCGCCTGCCGCTGCCCGCGCCCCGCTCACGGCTGCCCCCGCAGGTGTCTACAGCCTGGGCAAGGAGGCGCTGCTCGTGGAGCTGGCCCTCGAGTTCCACACCTGGGTTGTCGTGAGTCCCCAGCGCCTGGAGCAGATGCAGCTGCTGGAGCTGCCCGACGTCTTCACGGCTGAGGAGGGGGCCGGCTGGATCCGCGCCGTGGACGTCGCTGAGATCCGCTGGGACACTGTGGTCCGCTGGAACCTGGAGCACCCCACCATTGCCATCCTGCCCACCGGCCGGCCCGTGAAGGTCACGCACCCCAAAATCTACCCCGTTCCCTACTCTGACCACTCATCCTTTGAAGAGCTGTGTGAGTTTGTGGAGTGGCTGAAACCCTGCTCGGTCATTCCTATTGTGCGGGACAGCAATTGCCAACGTTACTTTGAAAAATACCTGTGTACCGACCGCCGGACTCTTCCCGACCTCAACACGTCCGAGCCTGTGCAAGAGTTTGCAGAGCAGGAAAGGAAAGAGAAAGGACAGAAACTTGTGCGTCCACTGAAAAAAGCTGTCCAGTGTTCTGTGCCTCGAGGAGTTGTTTTTGAGTCCCCAGAGAAATACACTGATAGGCGTGAAGAGGTTGGAGACTTCAAGGTTCCTCAGCAGAACTGCGAGTCCAGTGTTTGCTCCGAAGAATGCTGGGCTTGCCCTCCCTCACACAAGGAGAATGGGGAGGAAACGTTTGGCCAGGATCCCCAGAGGCAGCGCAGGGCAGCGCCGCGGGACGGAGCACGGGCAGCAGCGGTGCCAGCTAGCCCTGCTAGCCCATCGCCGGCTTCCGAGGACGACGTGCCCAGTGGGTTGGCAGAGCAGTATTTACTCGCGCCTTTAAATATCCTGAAGCAGAATTCCGTGGAGAAATTTGACAAGGTAGTAGAAGAATTCTTAAAGAGGGAGGAAGCATCCTGAGATTTGTGACACTTGCAAAGACGGTTGATAATAGTGATTCTAGCAGTCTTACAATTACATTCCATTCTTGACATTTCCCATGACAAGATTGCTTAATTCTGAGGCTGTGTTCTCTTTTATTAGCAGAGAAGGCAGCAACTTGAACTTATTTGTATATGTTGAGATTTTTCTTTCTTTATTTTGTCATATGTTGGCAAACATTTGTGTTAAGCGTTGACTGCACTCGGGCAGAGCAGTTCTGCTAGGAGCGTCCCCTGCATTTACTTTTTAGTCTTTTGTTGCAAAGCTGTTATCAGATTGAGCAGTAGAGGGCGTGAGCTGTCTGCAGCTGAACTGATGGGTTTGGATGTTATGAGAGAAGCAGAAGCGAGTCCGAGAGTCTAATGTTCCTCTTTTTATATTTTTGTAATGACCTGTTGACAATGAGCAGATCATTCCAAGATGCATTACAATATTATGCATTAAATTATGTTTCAAAAATGTGCTCAAAGAAATCTATTAAAAGAAGTGCCTTTAAATCTGCTAATGAATTACTTAATACCTCCAAACATAGTAGTGCTTTTGCTTCTTGCCAAGTGCAGCTGGCTGCAGCTCTGCGCTTCTGAAAACATCACCTTAATGTTAACTATAAATGCTCTTTCAGGTCACAGGCTGGGAAAGTAGGAATTATGGATTCCTAGGTTCCCTTCAGAATGGCTTACTATATCCTCTGCAGTCTCTGCACTCAGGTGTGCATGTTTGAATCTTTCTGCTGGACTGCAAAATGCTTCTGGTAACTGTAAGCATTCTGACAGGAGCTCTGCTTTCCTGTGGAGTGCCTGTACTTTCCAGGCAATTGCAGGTGGGATAGGAGCTAATGAAACATCTGCTTACTGTTGCAAAGTGTGGAGTTTTTGAGGCAGTGTTTGAAAGTGTGGGAATACTGGGGCTAAGCAGCAAAACTGAGCTCTTATTTGGAGGGTCAGGCACTTCCCCACTGCAGGTCACCGCAGAAAGCCACAGCCTGCCTGTCACAAATGGGAAGTGCCAGCATGTGACCAGGCAGTGAAAACACTGTTGCTGTTCTTGCCAAACTGCACTGGCTACAGCTCGCAAACTGGTTCCCCGCTGGGTCGCAGCAGCAGCGCTAGAGTGGAAACATTCCTGGGCTCTTTCCTGGAGCACCAAGCCAGCTGGTTACTCAACTTTCCTAACTTTCGTGCCACTACTTTTTCCTCGCCAGATGTTTCATGTGCTCCTGGTCAAGATTCAAATCTCTCCTGCGTGCAAGGTCTCTGCAAGGCCAGTCAGCTAGATAGATTGAATTCCCTGAAACAAGCCGGGTGAGGAAGTGTTTGCTCTTTAAGTAGAGCTAGGGCTCATGAAAAACAGAGGTGCCTGTAGAGACAGCCACACCTGTTAAAAACAAGGCTGTGCTGAACTGTAATCATGACGGCCTGTGTGGGTATGTTTGGAAAGCTGCCTGGTAAACACGAGTCCTGGGTCCCAGCCCTGTGCCCAGGAAGGGCACTGCAGCATTATCACCTTAATGTGAGCAATGCCTTTTAGTGAGAATGCTGATTGTTGTCTGCCAGTGAGACTTTGGAAACGTTGGAGCAGTGGTCTGTATTGCGCCTTAGAAATAAACTTCTTCAAAAGTGGTAGAATGGGCAGCTTCAGCCTTTTTCCATGGTCTTTACATCCTATTTTATGGAGATTTGGGTGGACTGTTTGCCAGTCAAAACTGAACTGCAGAGCCCCATCATCTCTATATGAGAAGAGGCACCCACATTTCGGTAACACCTGAGACTTCCAGCAGGATCATTGCCCTGCACTGGCATGTTTTGTCTGCCGTGGGCTGCCTCGGAGATGCTGGCTGTATTTTAACATTGTTGAAATTTAAGTGACTCACTTGACAGGTGGGTGAGTGAAACAGAGTCTGAACTCCCAGATCCCAAGACCTGCTCTTGGCTTGCAGGCCCGGAGTGAATGCTTGCGTTCTGAGTCACGGCCCTGTTTAGGTATGTTGCTTAGGATGTTTTGTGGCATTCAGCCTTTCCTATTCTCATCTTGCCTCAATGAAATAGACCATTTCCAGGTGAACCTATGAGCAAAAAGGCGTAGTAAGAGCGTTAATGCTTTGCAGAGGCCTGAAAACAGAGTTGTCAGAACTGGAAACTTCAAAGGCTGTGAATCTGCTCCATGTGTCTCAACATGAACTTAAAACTGCAGAAGAAATGCTGGAATCTGGTACTGGAGCATAAAAGGTAATTCCTGCCCTTTCAGAAGGAAATTATCAAATTATGTAGAATCGGGGACTAGCAAAACTTCCACATAGATTTAAGAGAAAATAAAAGCAGAAGGGTCTTGGCCAATAGTCAGCCTGGAGACCCTTGCTTCAGCACAGCTAGTGTGTGAGGCACTTGAGTGCCAAACATGTTTGTTCTTTGTGTTAAGACCTAAATGCCTCACATATGTTTTATTCTAAAATACTGGCAAAAAGGTGACCTATGGCAGAGCTCTGATATTTCTGGGAATCCTTTGGCTACCTCTGGAGGCTCCTGGCAATAAATAGCCGGCCACTTAGAGGCCTTGTTCTCCCTCCTGCTTGCTTCCCCAGCTTCCCTCTGTGCCGGGCACCGGCCCAGCTCACAGGGAAGTGTTACTGCAGCTGAAGAGCTGGAAGGCCGTGTACACCGCGTCTGAACATGCTGCATTTTGCTCCGCTGCATTGTGCCCTGTCAACCCTGCTACCACGGGTGTGTCTTCACAGAAGCGACAATGAGAAGCTGTAGCCAAGTGTTGCTTAGTCACGGATTATCTAGCACTATGTGCATAGAAACTGTTGTAATCATCCCTGTAAGAAGGGGTGTGGGGGGAAAGGTGCTCGGACCAAAGCCCTTCCAAAATCTAAATATGCAGCTTGAGCTTCTTATCTGTGTTCCCCAGCTGGACAAGCTCTGGTGGGATGAAGCAACTCGCCTAAGGTCTCAGAGTCTACAGAGGAGCTAGGATGGAGCTGAGGTCCCTTTGGCAAGTGCTTTAATCACAAGGCTGCCTATTCAGCTCTTCAGCACTACTTTAACAAGGTGTGATCTAGCTTACAACTTTAACAAGCCGTGACACTAGCCCGTCACCAGGGTAGGGCAGGTTTATGGTGCTGGAGCTGCGTGCTGAGCTCCTTCCACACACTTGCCAGGCCAGTCAGCACCCTGCAGAGCAGCTCGGCTGCTCTCATGTCTGTGACTGTGTAGGAAACCATGCAGGAGTGCCCCAGCTCTCCCGTGGAGAGAGAAACAAACACGAATTTAGGTCCCCACAGGGACAGGAGGCACTTGCAAAGCCTGTGTCCTCCACAGCAGGCAGTCATCACGCAGCTTTGCAGGTGACGCCCTGGAGCTCCCGGGAGTGTTCAGAGCAGGGCTTCCCGCAGGACAAGGCTGAAGCGCTCGGCACCCCTTCTGCTTGTCCTGCTGCAGACTTGTTCCCCATTCGGTACTATTTTCTAGATACAAAGATTGTGTAACAGGGAAATTGTCCTTGATTACCAGTAATTTTTTTTTTCTGGGAGCTTACACAATTTCCTGTGCAATGTGTTGTTGCTTTACACTCATGTAAAATTAATTTCAAACGTGTTTTCTGGTTTTGTGCTCTTTTGGACTATTCCAAAGAAAGGGACTGAATGTGTATGAAAAGCAGAGTCGCGCCAGTGTCACCTGAGGAGCAGCCTTCGCAGGAGCTGCTCTCCGGCCATGTCTTTCTGTGCACAAGGGCTCTTCCTTCCACCACATCTAGGGTGCTGCAGGGTCTGTGTTTTCACTCGCGGTCCCATCCCAGCACCAGTGGCCATGGGTTTGCAGGAACTGCTTTGGGACAAACCTTGCTCGACAGCAGCCCTGTCGGCCCCGGCTCAGGGAGTCCGGGGCTCCGCGAGCAGGTGCCCAGGAAGATGAGGGCAGTCTTTCCTCGTCGCGCGCATGCAGGTCTGCGCGGGGTGGCCCTGATGCTGCTTTCCAGGCGCTGTGGGCAGTAACGCGAGGGAGCAGCGGGCTGAGGCCGCCCGCGGGCCGCATCCATCGCATCCATCCCCCCCGGGGGGGGGGGGAGGAGGGCTGCGCCATCCCGCGGGGGCAGCTGGGAGCGCAGCGCCCTTCCCGCCGGAACGGGCTGCGCCCGGCGCGGGGGCTGCGGCCGCTTCCGCCTCGGCACGTGTCATGGCGGCGGCGAGTGTCACGTGAGCCAGCTCGGCGCTCGGCTGGCTTGGCCTGTGGCGGGCGGTGCGCGGCTCGGCGCTCGGCTGGCTCAGCCTGTCGAGGGCGGCGCGCAGCTCGGCGCTCGGCTGGCTCGGCCTGTCGCGG